CGTTGTAGTGGAAGACATGTTGAAGAAATTGCTTGAAGACAAAACCAAACCGGTGATGTCGGAAGCAAAGAAAGCTACCAGCGGCCATGGAAGACGTGGGAACCCTAACATGTTTTAGGGAAGGGAAAATCCAAAAGTGGAGATCATGGAGGAGATGTTAAGAAGGCTCTTGGAGATGCAAACAAAAACTTCATGGGTGGTTCCGAGGGCTAACCCTAACTAAGATTTGACCGGGATTCCCTTGACTGAATCGAAGGGAAAGGAGATCGAACAAGAGGAGTTTGACGAGGAGAGTTTCTTTCATCAAGAGCCACCTCTTGGAGCTTCGATAAGAGGTGCATCGGGGTTTCTGGATGAGGGGACAACAAAGAGAAAATCTTTTGGTGTAGGCGCTAGGGCCGCCGACTATTATGGGAGGCCTTTTGAGCAGGGGAAGTGGACGACCGAAGGAATGTAGGATTCCCACCCTCGATACATGGGAAAAATATGGAGGGATCATGGAAACCACCCCTGGAGGGGGAAGAAGCTATTAAGGTGGTAGTGATCCTAGGGTGAGGAAGTTGGGGATGCCAGTATTTAAAAGAGATGATGCGTATGGGTGGGTATACTAGGTGGAGATGTATCTCATGGTGAATGGGGTGACGGAGGAGGAGAGACTGACGACAACGGCCCTATGTTTGGAAGGGAAAGCTTTAGCTTGGTTCCAATGGACGATAGCATGGCAACTAACAAAGCAACTAAAGAAAGCTATCAACAACATTTAATCCTTTCACCTTGAGGACAAGGTGGATTTTTAGGAGTGGGGTATTGTTAGACCGGTTCACGCAGATCGGCCCGTGCAAAACAGGCGGAGAAGTCCGTCTCTTCTGTACACAACGCGTAAGCCGCCCGAGTCCAAAGAGCAGATTTGGAAGGAATTTTGAGGGATTTGAGAGGGAAATTTGAATGTAGAGACTGTTTAGAGATTTTCTTTTGATTTGTATGCATTAAATAGTTTGTTATACTAGGGTTAGGGCATCTTGAAATTGGCTGAAATTTGAGATCTCTTAGATTTAGGTTTTCTTTTGGGCTCTAGCGGCATCTAGAGATTTGGGAGAGATCGATCCTCCTCTTGAATAGAGGATCAATTGTATCTTGCTATTTTCCGTTTCCCTTCATCAAATGATACAAATTATCTACTATTTTCGTGATTTTGTGCGGATTTTTGTGGAGGATTTTCGTTGTTTTCTAAAGATTGATAGGAATTTGATGTAGTGGATCGTCGGAAGAATCGACCTACAAGAAGGATTTAATCCCAATCCAGGGAACAAGAGGAAAACAAGCTCTAAGGCTTTAAAGAGTATAATATTTCATTCAATGCCCTTCTTCTCTTACACATTCCCTATATATAATGCCAAAGTAAGGAAAACCTAGAGAATCCTAGAAGATTCTAGAAAACTTATAACAAACTACATAAGCTATTATAAGGGACACTTTAGACTTAAAATGCTCCGCATCATTCTCCCCTTGCTTGAAAAGAGCTCAACTCCGTCGAGGCGCATCATCGGGAGATGGACAACATAATCAACCCTCCAAGGTCGAAGATTTTGCGTCTTCAATGCATGTATGCAAGCTCATTCATTAGATGCATGAATACCTTGGACCTTCCACAATTTTGCCTACCTCCATAGGTAGAAATCAGAAGTTAGCCAGCTCTTGCATTCCTTGATCCTAAACGTTGGACATAGAGTAGGACAACCTGGACATCTTGAAGTCTGTTAGAATTGATTGCATCACTACTGAATAATACCTTGTGCATATTTGAAATAAGGATGTTCAAAGGATCTTCTAGATCATCAACTAGAGGTGGATTCAGCCCTTCAAGATCAAAGTGTTCTGCAATAGACCAAATCAAACGTGCACAGATCCTTGGTGTATTAACTACACACAGATCTTTGAGCAGTTGTAGCTATAAATTTCATAGCCTTGTCTCATTCAAAATCTGATCCTGAGAAGCACCACCTATTGTATCATATATATAACCAAGTCTGACAAGCAACTTCAATAACAATCTATAGTATAAGTTTGCCCATCACAGTCCCACATAACACAAGGTCTGCAAACTTCCACAACCTCCAAGGCTGATTCTGTCCAATTTAGTGCACCATAGTCAGTTCCATAAGCCAATGCACCAATAACTCTGCTCTCAATACCATAATTTTTATGCTTAGGCAGTGACAGAGATAGTTGGAAATAGCTTTCCACAAGTGAAGCAATGAGTTCCTCCCTAAACAAGCTTTTACTTGATATACAGTTTAGATCATCATACATTCTTAAACGTTCAAAAAGTGAAGTAATGGCCCTCCCTGGAAGAGGTTTCTGACCTCTTCGCACGCTCTCCTTTGCAAGAAGATCTACACAAATAACTGCATGAAAAATGCTTTCCAAAGCATGCTTGAAGTCTGACTCTGCCCTCAAGTTTCTCATGCCAGAATGAAGATGCATATTGCGCTCACCATGCCTCAAAGGGCTACCATATCCAACAGGAGAAGCTGGGAGAACAGGGCTTGCCAAAGGACTTTTCTGATACGACATATCAAGACCAAAAGGACTGTCATAATAGCTAGACTTACCAAGAAATGGCATTTAAACTGTTTCTGTAGTTGAAGCAATGCACCAAGATATGCTCTCTGGATATCGAGTGAATCTCCATAAGAATTGCCCATGAAGCCTCTCGGCAGCAATCGGCCAAGTTGAATATCTGTAGAAATGCCCACGTAGACGGAGAACTCATGGTCAGGCTGTAGGACCATGAAACTGACAGGAAAAACATGGTGATGTGGGGGTAAGGAGAATGTGGGAATGCGAGTTCTGAAGTCATCTGCGACATTACGTCGAGCAGTTTGTGAGCATGGCGTTGGATCAACCTTTTCAGCAGAATTTAAACCTGGGATTTCCACACCTGCAGTAAAATCCTTCCCATTACCAACATTGTAGTTGTCATTTAACTCAGTCTCCCCATGTCCATGAGCCATTATCCTAACTTTGAGCCTATCAAGAATCTCACGATCATCATACTTCGCATAGGAAGCAAGAACTGTAGTCTCCAACAATACTGCTAGCTAAAAGGGGCTGATAGTATTTGCTGGCTCTAACAATTCAGAACTGAAGATATCCACTAAGTACTTCACAAAATCTTCCTTCCATAGACGAAGATACCTCATGATTGCAAGGCAATGATCCTTGAATCTATACCTTTTATGAATCACATCCATCAGATGCAGATCAATTTGATTGGCAACTTTAACCGCTAATGCCATGGGAGCTTCCGCCCAACCACTGTCCAAGACTTCTTGAACCAGAGGCTGGAGGGTCACGGTAGAAGCAGCATCTCCACACGTGATGGTTGGGCTCGAGATACACACCTGGGTGAAAACGACATGAACGTCTGAAGAAGTTTCGGCCTCAGAAACGAACAAGTTGGAGTGATGGGCATCTGAATTGGAGTCTTCTTCAGCAAAACTGTTCTCCGATTCTTGCATAGTATCGGATTGGTCGCACTCCTTAGGATCGACGGTGGAGTTGAAATCGACGTCGAGCTGTGGTTCTGCTCGGTCCGTGGATACGAGAGCAACATTGAGTTGGAGTGAGGAAAAGCATTCGGTAGATCTGAAGGCGGAATTATGGTTGGCGGAGATAGAGTGGTATTGCTTCGCAGCATCCATAGGCGAGAGGCTTTGGAATTGGGTCAGGCTTGATTCAGTTGCGGTTGTCTGCGGAGGCGGAGGAGCTTGATTTGAGTGTTTGAACCGTGGGGGATCATGGATCTGGCATTGAAGCGGAGGGGGGTCGCGCCATCGGAGAGGAAGCTCGAGCGGCGGATACTCCGGCGGCGAATCGAGCCATCGGAGAGGGAGTTCGAGCGGAGGGTAATCGTCAACCACAATCGGTTGATTTCGGAACCCTTTGCGGGAAGCGGAGGAGAAGAGGGAAGGCGAAGACGAATACCTCGGTATGGTTGCCGACGACATTTGCATTCTCCTTATTGCCCAAAGGTTTTCGTCTATTCGATCCTGATAGAAGGCTATACTGCTTCGTTCATCGTCGATAGCTCTCCTTCGTTGGTGTCGATCGTTGTCGACCACCGTCCTTATTCTTCGACTTCGATCATCGTTGACAGCCGACCTTCTTCTGTAGTCCATCGATCTTCGCAAGCTCCAGGCTCTGATACCAACTAATGTAGTGGATCGTCAGAAGAATCGACCTGCAAGAAGGATTTAATCCCAATCCAGGGAACAAGAGGAAAACAAGCTCTAAGGCTTTAAAGAGTATAATATTTCATTCAATCCCCTTCTCCTCTTACACATTCCCTATATATAATGCCAAAGTAAGGAAAACCTAGAGAATCCTAGAAGATTCTAGAAAACTTACAACAAACTACATAAGCTATTCTAAGGAACACTTTAGACTTAAAATGCTCCGCATCATAATTACTTGAGATCTTCAAGTGTTTCCTATTAGCATCCAGTGAACTTTAGGTTATTAGTATGAACCATAACAAGGCAACATCATAGAGCTACAGGATGTCATATAGAATCCAAAAGTAAATCAAAGAAAATCAAAAGTGAATCAATAGACATCTAGTGGACATTAGGGCATTAGTATAAACCTTAACAAGGCAAAATCATAGGCATGTTTTACTAAAAGAAAATATGCTAATAGAAAATTCTTGCTAAAATTATGACTCATAAAAGAAAAACAAAAAAAATTAGTAATAAGAGCCATATTTCAAGATGTTCATCATAACGCACATTGCTTGCATTATGGATTCCTATAGATTTTGAGTTTTGCATCATCTTCATTAATGAATACAATTGCCAAATAATTCATTATAAGCTTTTGAATGACTAGGCTTTATTGAAAATTAATATAAATATTTAAAATGCTTAAGCTTCAAACTAGTGATTCTTTAATAAGTATTCCAAAAAAATAAATCGTATTAAAAAGAAGATACCACATACCCTCAAAAGATTCATTAGGATCATCAAATTATCCTTTGAACTAACATATTGCAACATAATTGCAGAATTTGATCTATCAAGCAACATATCTCCCAAAAGCTGTAAGAATTTAAAGGTTAGTTAGATTACGATTATTGTTGGTTATAAGTAAAACATAAAAATTAACAAAAAAATTTATTAAAACATCCCCTTCGTGACAAACTCCCAATTCGTAGTTATAGGGCTAAAGCAATGCCAGATGAATGTGCTTATCAATTTAAACATAAAAGAAATAGCACCTTGATAGCTTGTCTTTTTGTGATATAGTTGGAAGAAGACAGCAACTTCTCGTTATATTCAGCAAAAAACTGAAACAACCAAAAAAGGTCATGAGGATAATAACCTAGTAGAAGGAAAATTTTAAAAAAATAAATAAAGCGCAACTAAATACCAACATTGAACCAGGAAAAGTGCTTCTTTTGAATAATTCCAAATTCTTACCTGTACTATGCTTTGAATACATTTGGTGAATATATCGTGTATACGAACATGGCCAAACCATCCAGAATTTGAGGTTCAGATTTCTTCAACAATATCAATTACCTCGACCTCCTCAACACGATTTGAAATCCTACTTCACCATCGATAACACAATCAACTTCAACGATATCAATTACCTCTTAAAGTCAAGGGCCTTCCACTTTCATGTCAGTCAAGTTCTCCAAATGCAAAACATTTGATTATGTAATTCTAAATTTGATGCTTCCTATCCTCGGACCTTCTATTGTCTCCACAATCAAGTTTCATGAGACTGGTAAGGCAATGTACGACTTTCTCCTCCACTTTCCAATAAAGTAACATCTTCAAGATATTTACTTTGTTATATAATAAATATTTTATACAATAGAAGGACTTGTCTATCATTAACTATTAAAGAGTGACATCATGAATACTAGGAGGGCAATCCAAAAAAATGGGTGGAAATTGATCCTTCAAGCTAAGGTCCAGACAAGGAGCAACACTCGACCTTTTAGAATAATTGCTTTTACGACAAAGAAGTGGGGATGAACTTTAACTTCAATTCTTCCTCTTTTTTTGTTTCATGTTTCAATTGAGATCATTCAAACCTAGCAATGCTCCCACAACATCTGCCTTTACATCCAATCACTTTTGTCATCACACACATTGCGCTATAGAGCTTTTTTATCATGCTCGCTGGGCAATCTGTGAGCATCACATCCAGGCATGCTTGATCCCTAGGGCTCTCCATCTTCTTCTCGTTGTGCACGTTGTAGGGCATCTCTGCTCGGTAAGAGCTAGCAACTTTGGATAGCGCACATGCCCACTTCGTTTTTGGCAACTAAGATAGTATACATGCGGTCTCAAATAGGTTTCATATCTATACATTTGTGCTCATTCGCTATTATTTGACAACGTGCCTCCTCGCTTCCTCTGCTTAAGGATCAAGCATTGGGGTCCTTGTCATCTTCTCCAATGCCTACTTCTCAAACCATCTCTCCTACGGGGAGAGTTCCATCATCGCCATCGATTCAAATGGTTATCTCTCTACTACAACTCCAACGGTCTATCCACTTTCAATTTCTTCCAATGTCAGCATTTATTGATCAATCGGGAAAGTTGTTGAGGGCTGATTACTTCGAACTTTTATTTGGTCCGGTGAACGTACGCAACTCTACATTCGGCTGCCAGTAGAATCGCGCCACTCGTTTTCATTATTTACCGCGCGCCCCGACAACCCGACCCGGAACGGACCCAAGATTGCTCGGTATTGCTCGGTATTGCTTGGTATTGGTCAATTTTGCTCGGCAATAACCAATACCGAGCTAATACCTAGCAATACCGAGCAAATACCGAGTTGTACCGAGTTGTACCAAGTTTTTTCTAGCAATACCTAGCAATACCGAGCAAATCCCTAGCAATACCGAGCAAACCCTGAGCAAATACTGAGTTGTACCAAGTTGTAAAAAAACTCGGTACAACTCGGTATTTGCATGGTATTGGTCTCCACAGAGCGGTATTTCTCATTTTTGCAAAGCAATACCTAGAAAATACCGAGCAATACCGAGAAAATCACGAACATAGCATTCCCGGGTTCCGCTCTGGGTCAAGTCGTCGGGCCGCGCGATAAATAGTAAGAGCTCGTGGCGACATGTTATTGGCGGCCGAACGTAGCTCTATGTCAGGTCAGAGGACGTAATAATTGTTCGATTACTTCAGGATCTCAGGGAGTTTTGTGTTAGAACGGTCCACTGGACTGGCTTACGGACTAAACATGTGGAAGTTCCGCCTCCAGTACGCACGATATGATCGCCCCGGCATGAGAGAGCTGTTTAGGAAGGATTTTTTAGGCAATTAGGAGAGAAATTTCAAAGTAGGGGCAATTTAGAGATTTCCTTTTGGATTGTATCCATTAAATAGTTTGTTTTCCTAAAGTAAGGGCATCTTGAATTTGGCTAAAATTTGAGATCTCTTAGGTTTTTAGGCTCAAGCTGCATCTAGAGATTTGGGAGAGATAGATCCTCCTCTTGAACAAAGGATCAATTGTATCTTATTATTTTTATTCCATTAGTTTTATTATCGCAATAAAATTATTGTTTTTCTATTTTTTCCTTTGGATTTGTGGATCGTTCTAACTGATTTCATCAAGATAATTAGATTTTACTTGGGAATTCGAAGTATTTCCTATCAAATTGGTATCAGAGCAATTTCTTTGAATGAAATAAAAGTCTTCCTCGCTGAATTTTGCTGCATTCCGTATCAAATCTTGCTTTTTTTGCTGATTGGAGGATAGAATTCACGTCAAACTTTTTGCACCTTGCTATTGGAGCCTAAATCCAAGTTCCCATGGCTGGAAGAAATATAAGTGTTTGAAGTAGAGATTGGACAATTCAAAACTGAAATTTTTATCTCCACAGTCAACTTTCAGATGTCAAAAGTCAAATTTCAGTCATCTACGAGAAGATGGATGAGAATTAATCCAGCCTGAGGGAGATGTTCAAGAAATTGCTCGAGGGCCAAACCAAAATATCGCCGTCAGAGGTGAGAGAAGGCATCAACAACCAAGGAAGTGGGGAAAACCCTAAGCCAATCAGACGAAGGAAAGATCAGGAGGTGGAGACTCGGAAAATAGAAGAGAGAGTACCTTCCCTAGAGCCTATTCCTGGGGAAGGGCTGGGTATAGGGTATGGGGAGAGGCGTGAGGAGGTAGAATAAGAACGAATGGGCTATTGAATTTGAGAGGAGAGGGGCAGATTTTGAAAGGGAAAGAGGAAATTATGACTGAAGGGGGATTGAATTTGAAAGGAGAGGGGTTTATTATGATCCAAGGGGTGCTGAATTTGAAAGGAGAATGTGAGAAGTTGATGAAAGGTTTGCATATGAGCATAGAAGGGATGAATGAGACACTTGGGCAAAACCACCCCTTGGGGAATGGGAAATTATGGAGGGAACGAAGGCGATCCGAGAGTAAGGAAACTAAAGATGTCAATCTTTGTGGGGAAGGATGCGCACGGGTGGATCTATAAAGTTGAAAGATATTTTGTCGTCAATGGGCTGATGGATGAGAAGAGGCTGACGGCAGCGAGCCTATGTTTGGAAGGGAATGCTTTAGCTTGGTACCAATGGAGGGACATGCGACGACCCATACGGAGTTGGAGGAAGTTTAAGTATTTTTTGGTAGAACGTCTCCGAACTGACAGGGGATGAGACTTTTACGAGCAATTTTTCACCTTGACACATGATGGTTCAATGATAAAGTATATAGAGAGGTTTGAGTACCTAGCTAGCCGATTGGACCGCCTTTCTGAGACAGTGCTAGATGGGAACTTCATGAAGGGACTGACACCAGAGATCCGGGCAGCAGTTAGAGTGATGAGGCCTCGTAACTTGGGAGAGGCTATGGAGCTAGCTCAGTTGGTTGAGGATCAGAGGCACCTAGAGAGAGGAACGAGAGGTAGCAGCTCAGTAAGCTCGTACAGGATGACTACCACCTTATTAGCATCCAAGGAGCCAACACCAGATACTCTTCGGGGGACTTCGAAGGAAAAGACTACATGAGGAAAACCTAGGGACGATTTCAATAAGCTCACGTAAACGAAAATACAGGAGAAGAGGGCGAAGGGGCTCTGTTTTAGATGTGACGAGAGGTATACTCCAAGGCACATGTGTAAGGACCGAACTCTTCAGGTTCTTACCGTTTGTGATGATGAGGGAATAGAGGAGGGTGTTGTATTTCCACCTTGCGGACAATGTGGGTCTTTGGGAGGGGAGTATTATTAGACCAGTCCAGCTGGTCCTGCGGACGAAACATGCGGAAGTTCCACCTCCTGTACGCACGATCCGATCACCCCGGCATGAGAGAGTTGTTTAGGAAGGATTTTTGGGGGAATTAGAAAGGAAATTTCAAAGTAGGGACTGTTTAGAGATTTCCTTTTGGATTGTATGTATTAAATAGTTTGTTTTCCTATGATTAGGGCATCTTGAATTTAGCTGAAATTTGAGATCTCTTAGGTTTTTTGGCTCTAGCGGCGTCTAGAGATTTGGGAGAGAGAGATCCTCCTCTCGAATAGAAGATCAATTGTATCTTGTTATTTTTCTTCCGTTAGTTTGATTATTGCAATAAAATTACAGTTTTCTAATTTTTCATTTGGATTTGTGGATCGTTCTTGCTGATTTCATCAAGATAGTTTGGTTTTACTTGAGAATTTCAAGTATTTTATATCATTTTGACAACCCAATTTCCACTATTTTTCATCAAAGTTCAATTCCGCATCACAAAAAAAACCTTTGCATACCAAGATAAAGCAGCCCTTATATTCACTGATTTGAAAATATTTGAATCAGCTAGACCATTTTCCTACTCTTTCGTGAGAAGTTCTCGATGGGATATCTTGACGTTGAGATTATACATTCATTCATTTCAGATTTGCATTTGACCAGAGAATATTCAACTAGGCCCCTTGACCCTAACCATACAATTATTAGATTATCAGAAGTAGATTACTCTAAATTTTTTTTCATAACACTCCTATTATGTGAATGGTTTCCTGATGCGAATGTTAAAACTATTTCACTTTGACTCATCCTGGAACCTCTTATCACTCCAATTTGTATTTATTTTCCATAACTTTGTCTCCACTATTTTAATTAGGGCTTTTTATTCTCTAGGTTATATCTTTGGCATACCCCTTAAGTAGATACCGCTATTGCTCACCTCTCAAGATCGTCTGTGGCCAAATCTCTCGTTAAATTAGATGTTACTAGGCCTCTGAACTATATAAGGTATGGATTGGTCATCTTTTGTGGCTATTGGGAAAATTTTGTATTTGAAAACATTCCTTTATGCAATTACCTTGCAAAATTTTTGGACACAACTACTATATTTGTTACAAAGCTCATCTAGAATTAAAAAATCATATATTATAAATCCATACAATCAAGATGGGGTGAGATAATACATGCAAATGATCAAAATATATCTTCACTTGGGGTGAGATCAATACATCACATATAATTGGCTACCTCATTACAATTAGTGCTAGAGTTAGACCTCCTCTAGTACGATTTGTGGTCTGGGAAAAACCAATTGAAAATTAGTGGCCTAGGATGTCCCAAATTTGAAGAGGACAATCCCAAAAAGAGGGCATATGATCGCTCAAATCAAGAGTAACACCTGACAAGCTTTTAGGATAAATGGGGGGTGAAGAAATGAACCTAATCTTACATCAAGAAGGAAAGAGTTGTAAACTATATAAGTAAAAGATTAGATCAAATATGTGAGATGCCTTTTAGTATAATAGATGAAGTTTATTTGAAATTTCTACGGATAAGCATGCTCATAATAGAGCACTATCAAGATGGGAGGCCTTTTGGTAAGCTACACAAAGAAGGATAAAGCCATGAGATTAAATCTAGCATAAGACAAGCTAGAATGGTACATGTTGAACCAAAGTAAACAATAACTTGCATAGTTTTGGTAGGGTCGTCATTAAAAGTACCTTGTGCTGTAAGTGACATAAGGTCAACACAAACCTTTTACAACTGATCCAAAGGTCTGGCAACAACAAATGAGTTCATGTAGCTAAATTCCTCCTTCAATAAGTAAAACCTTGACCAATTACGAACTATATAACTCCTAATCTTCCAACTACTCTAACACATGAGCTTTGGATCGCAAAGCTATCATCTCTTTCTCCATCAATCTTTGACCGAAGTACTCTCACCACGAGCACCAAGGTGCTTGTGGAGTTCATTCTCGTGGAGGCTTAATTAAAAGTGGAAGTGAATGTGAGAAGTCATTCCCTTCTTGCTCTCATTTTGATTATGGCAATCATCTTTCATAGCAATGTTGGGCAATTCAACAAGGCCCCTAATGCCACATTGCTTTGCATATGTTTGTTCATTTTAATTATAATACAACTCTTCTTCAGGATCAATCACGATCACTAAGGAGAGAGCTATAATCACCTAATTCAACACTCTTTGACCATTTGTCAACTTCTAATATTGTTTCATCCTCAAGTTATGTTGCAACTACCTCATTAGATAAGGCTAGGTATCGACAAAAGGATGACCAAAACAAGTCACTAAAAATGGACTGACTCTTGGATCAGTTAGACGAAGTCCCTGAAATAAGAAACTTCTCGAGAAAGGAGGGATATCGGCCCAGAGAAAACTAGTTGAATTTTAGATTGTTTCTTCTTCATATATGACATATAATCAACATTTTTTTCCAAGCTTGACATTTCTTCTATACCACTCATCCTTGTAGCTGATGGTGCTCCTTTTGTTGTTTCTGGTATAATCATCGATTTACATTACATTTATTTGTCTATTTAAATATTATAAATGCAATGTAACATTTTAGCCTTCTCATTATGTTTTCAGTATCTCAAGACAAGAAAGGCATTGTATTGAAGCTGGAGAAATCTACTACCTAAAAAACATGATCCCTTTTATCTTTTCAACCATTTCTCCATATCAATAGCATTACCGTCTAAGTCATCCTCCACCACTACTAAGAGGTTTAACTACCACTCCATCTTCTTAGTCTAAGTATGACTTTAATGCTTATGAAATTGATAAGCATCATTGTCTTTTCCTCCATCTAACATAAGTCCCAATAGTGCCCAATTTGACTTGGTTCGTTTGAACATTTAAGGACTTACTCCTATTCTTACTGATTTTAAGCCATCTTTATTGATGAACATGTTTGTGTTTACTTGTGTATGTTTTTTTGAAATGCAAATTCAAGGTTTTAACCAACTTTCAAACTTTTTCTAAAGAAATAAAAGTTCAATTTCTACTATAATTAAAAATGTTCATATTGATAATGCCCTTGAATATATAGAAACTCAATTTCACTCGTGTTGAAAAGGGCATCATTCATCAAATTATTTTATCCTTATACATTCAATGAGAACGACGTTGTTGAATGCAAGCATCTTCATATGTTTGATGTTGATCGTATAATGATGTTTTATATGAATATTAAATGTTTTTTTTTTTGCATTTTTTGAATCATGTTATTTTAACTACATGCTATCGCATCTCATTTATTGTTCTTGTGGGATGTATTTACCTTTATTAATTTTCTATCCGAAGAAACCCCCTTTTTCTTTCTCTCAACCCACAATATGTTTTGGTGTATCGGTTTCATGTATTCATTTTGTATTCCTTATAAGCTTTCACCACGATCAATCCAATTTATTTTTCTAGATTACTATCATTCTTAGAAAGGCTATCATTTTTATTACTCGCTTAGCAAAGGCATTTATATTTCTACATATGTGACATTACAAGAGCCCTCGTCATATTATGCCTCCACTTCTTTGTCCCAACCATCCTCCTTAGCCATACCTCTTCACTCAAACGTGCTTATACATTCCCCTCCTCTAGGTGCATAGTAAACGGCCTCATCCTACTTCAACACCAGCCCCCCTAATAATGTTTGTCCAAATCAACTAGGCATCAACCTCCTAAGGAGCTAACTAATCTTCACTTATCAATAGACATTCTCAAAGCTAAACAACCATCTACTAATCATCATATTTAGACCTATATGAACTTGCTTATTTTTCCTAAGTTCGTAGTTTTTTTCTTTCCCTTATTCTTTGTTTCTATTTCTAGAACATATGAGGAGACTTGCAACATTCCAAAAGGAAAAATGATATAAATATTGACATAATTTCATACTTAATTGGCAAATATAAGATCTTGCTTCTACTCCCCTTGGCCTTAAAGCAATTCCTTGTTGATGGGTATGCACCATACAATATCATTTTGGTGGTTCTATTGATTGGTACAAAGTTTGCTTGGTTGCCAAGGATTTTGCACAAATCCATGGGCTCATTTATTTTGATTATTTCTTCCGAATTGCCAAACCCAATTCAATATGAATTATTTTATTTGTCATCATCAATAAAGGATGGTTGCAATTTCAAATGAATGTAATTCCTTTCTCTATGGTGACCTTGTTGAAGTTATTTACATTAAGAAGTTATAGGATATTTTTGCTCGAGGAGCAACCAAAGTAAACTTAATAAGGCTATTTATAACTTAAGAAAACTCCACAAATCCCTCAATCTATTTATAGCTTTATTATTTGGGATGTTTATGACGTCAACATTCTTTTTTACAAGGAGTGATCACAAAGAGGTTATTAAGTAATTAAGTTCAAAACTATCTTAAAAAATTTTGGTCACTCCAATATTTTTTGGGTATTGAGCTTGCCATTAGCAAAATTGGTGTTTCATTATCCTAATAAATATATGCAACAAATCTCTCGAAGAAAATTGATCTTTTCAGGTATGCAAACTTGTTGACACTCCTTGATGCTCAAAATATTGTTAATGTAAAGGAATAGTTTGAGAATGTTTCCCGTTATCACACATTTGCTGGTAAAATGATCAAACTCACCATACCAAATATTCTCTTTGTTGCAGGGATTGTAATTCAAAACAGGGGTGGGTGGGGCGCTACCCTTATGTAGGTGAATAAATCAAAATTGGAAGTGTCATGCCCTCTTTTGCTTGGAAAATATTTTCAGTGTTCCACCTAAACAAAAGCTGATATTGTTTGAGTTTAAATGTCATGTTTTTGGGGAAAGATATTATTTCTCTTCAAAAAAATATACATATATAAAACAAAACAAGCATCCAAAATGGTTTCAAATAAAGTTTGAGGCATAAAGGCAAAAAAACATTTGTCAGAAAAACCAAAGTATTTAAAAACCTGTGATATAAGTGCTGACAGAAGATTACAAGATGTGTTCCAGTAGCCTAATGGAAAAAAAAGTTATAATTTATAGCCATCTTAAGATGTCCTAAACTCAACAGATGTCCTACAATTGCACATAATTCTGAAATAGCTGCTAGAATCACATAGCAGATGCCTTCCAAACGGTCCAGTGAGCATAGTTACAAAAATAACGCAAGTACAAGAAACTCCTTAGAGAATAAAAAAAGAGATCAAGTTTCCCAACTTAATTGTGGAAGTAGTGGCAATGATTTTAACACTTTGATGAAAAACCTTTTAACTAAAATTAACCTTGGCCTACGTTGAGAAAATAAGTTGTGTACAACAATGCCTAGAATACTAAAATGTAGAACACAAATAGCTTCTACAAAAAAGATTGCGTACCCAATCATAGTTTTTAGAAAGAAACTCCGCTACAGTTGATTTATGCCTTGTCAAAAGCTCCTGAAATCAAATGATAACACAATCCATCTGAGTTGACATTATTAATAAAGTACTAATATTATTTCTAAATGTATCAGCCTCTCTCTCAATGGTAATTTAATATAAACATGAACAGCCAAGTTCACTTTGGTTTCATCAGTAGATAATTCAGGAAAAACACTGATCCATTGGGATAGTCATTTGCTCAACAATAGAATAAAGAATAGCAAACATCATCAATAAGTTTCATTTACAACCAGAGAAGTATAATCGATGCCTTAAATAGATGTTGTTCCAATAGTGTTTGTTGCTCTATGAAGGTAATACTTCGTGCAATGGTACGCGCATAAAGGCTCAACTGATTTATCTAGTTAATACAAATTTTGATCACAGTTGTACAGGGCAAAAGCTATGATTTACGTGTAAACTCTCATTGTATTCTAAATAACAATCCACTTTCATTAAAAAAATTTGTAAATTTATTCTGTATAAATAGCATAACGGTCTAAAGTAGAAAATGTAGTTAACACAGCCAGCATAATTAAGGAATTTCTATAGCACAAACGATTTCATATTTTAAACTGACAGATACCATTAAAACTAAACAAGCCACTTCTTTTGGGTCATATATTTACAGAAAATGTTTTCTCACAGAACAAATAATAGAAACTCCTAAGAAAATAGTTGTTAAAATGAACCTCATGGACTGCCAAAGTTCTTATACAAGGAAAGGTAAGCTGATGTAGCACAAAGATAAAGGTCGAGAATGGATAACAAACTAAGATTCTACATCAAGATTTGACCCGTTTATCATACATAACACTTCATGCAAACCAATGGACGTCCCATGATACTCTTAAAAACATGTGAGAATAATTAAGAAGCTTAGTTTGAAACCCCTTGATGGGTAGGTAGCTCATACAAATCAAGTAGGTAATAATCTTCATAAATCAATTGATTTCAATACCACTCTAGTTGTCTTAGTCGGCCAATCCTAATTTTCTTGTATTTGAAAACTTTAAATTTTATTTTATTACATTATTTTCTTTTCATTTATATTAGGAGAAGTCTCTTAAAGTTTTCCAAAATTGTCTAGGCTAGAAGAAGACATATAAATAGGACCTCACTCTGTACCTTTTTATTCGTTAAATAAAATTTATTTTTTCTCGTGCAAATTTTGTGTGGAATGTTGATATGGCAGTAGATTCAATAGGAGGGGGCCAGCCGATCCAGCAGGAGCGGAACCAAAGCCAGGTTCATGCGAGGACGGGTCCTGGAGTAGAAATGTCGGCCCCCTTTGTGGGGCCCAACAACATTAAGATTCATTATGAGAGGAGGAGGACTAAGGAGGGAATTAGGGAAGGAAAGAATTATAATTTGAAATTCAATTAGGAGAGGGAAATTAATTATGGAAATGAGGGTTGTTTGGGGGAGCTTAATCAGGATTACCTATGTTGTTTTTTAATTAGGTGCGATTTATTTTGGTTGCTCTAGTTTTCTTCTTAAGGGTTTTCTAGCGGCATCTAGGTGGTTTGGGGGGAGCCAATCTCCAAGTACATAGTACTCATGAAGTATTTCAATATTTAACCAAACACCCTTAAGCCTAGATAGTTATATCATCATTCATGTCATAATTCTTTTGAATAATATACACGAGATATTTAAGCCTATCACCCTTGAGTATGACATCATCTTCCAATAATATTTACTGGTAATTATTTATTTCGCACCCATTAAAGTGCATATCATAACTCAATTTTCATTTTTCTAATCCTACGCTCCTTACAAGATATTTAATCCTATCAGCCTTCCTACGCTCCTTACAAGATATTTAATCCTATCAGCCTTGCGTATGACATCATCTTCCAATAATATTTACTGGTAATTTTTTATTTCACACCCATTAAACTGCATATCATAACTCAATTTTGACTTTTCTTTACACTGGACTTGAGATAATAAAATAAGAAAGCAAGTTTAAAAAAAAACACTCAAAGTATGAGAAAAATAAGTTCTAACACAACATATATCAGGTAAAAGTATGTTGTATTTTCACCTTGAAAGTTGCAGATGCATCAGAAGCTATATCAAAATTTGGAAGCTCAATATAATCAAAGAACTTTTTCATGTATTCTGACTCCAAAACATATCTGCGAGAAAAATAAGTCTAGAAAGAAATAAGAAGTTCTATAAAAAAAATTTATAATTAGAAGACAAATCTATTAGGAGAAACCGAAGCAATATTAGATATTATAGAAGAAGAATTAAGATTTCCAGAGAAAGTACATAGAAATTAAAATTCAAGATTCTTAGAGAAAGTTGCAGGAATAGTTGTATGTTCTTTCCAATTTCTTTTATGAATATACTTGAAAATAATCAAACAATTTAAAACACTTCATCACCAAATAATTATTTTTCTTCATATCTAGTAAAAAAGATGAATAATGATATCATCCAAGTATCCGACTAATATCTTATGAAATAAAATTCTTATCAAACATAAATATTTAGGAGTTATGAATGGGAAACATCACATCAGTCGATCCCAGTGTCATCTTCAAAAATAAGGCAAACGCAATCAACAAGAATTAAAAATATCTTCTTTATAGCTTTCTCAATCCGCAACAATCATAATTTACATTTAATTTATGTCCTTTTGTAAAAAGGCCCTACAATATCTATAAAATGACTCTTTTGTTAGCAAGAATAATTTCCCTCCCTCCTCCCTAGCTTTCTCTATGCTGATATTTGTTTATAGGGATAAGATGTTATTCTTTTAGAAGGATAAAACCTTTTCTTCACACAGATTATACCTGAAATTAATTTTTAATTAAAAAATTGAATGGATGAGAGTTGAAGTCACTAAAAGTTCATTAAAAAAAGCTCTCAAGAAACTTGGATTCAGAGGAGTTCGAAGATATGAACCTAGCAATCAAGTGCCACTACATTGTTGCACCTCCCCCACTGCCATATTTTCATGAGAGATGCCATGATGATGAGAAATCCCTGATGTCCTTGTGACCACAAATCATACCAATGTCTTCAATTCCTTCAAAGACTGCTTCACCAATGGCTTTGAATTTAACAAGGAGCTTTTCACTTTCCTCCTCCCCATCATTTAATCGCCTGCACCAATGCAGGAAAGCGCATGCACTTTTTTTCCATTCCCTTCACCAAGCCCTCTGCTTGACCTAATGTGCTCATGATCTCAACTATGCTCCCAGCTTGACTGTAAACATTGAAAAGTAGTGCCTAGGAAGATCAAGCCTTCACAATGTTCTCACGTAAGTAGAGAATCTGGTAGTATAGAAAGAACAATTAGAATATTTCCATAGGTTTTTGCACCTCACCCTCCGTTGAGTTTCCCTATACTTTTATTTAATCATGTGATTTTTTTTTTTTATTTAATCATGTGATGAATAACATTTATCCTTCCAAAAGAATGGCAATATACGTTTATATATGTATGTGTACACAGTTACATGTGTACTTGTTATTCCATAAAATAAACATTTTAATTTTGTTATTCTATAAAATCAACATTTAAATCTCCATCATATTCTCATCATGTGATATCGGATATCTGTAAAACCTATGCCCTCTTAAACAACCAATGCTACTTCTACAATACCTAATAATTAAAAAAATCAATACTACTTCTGCATGTTATGCCCACCCAATATACCCATTCAATTATATAATAAAGTCCAGCTGTCTAAATCTATCACATCTAAAGATCACTTGATCCTCGACAAAATAAATTAATGATTATAAAAAATTTACCCTTCAATATGCAGATCAATCATACATGTATTTATTTTTTGTTCTTTTAATCCTTTGCCCCTCTTATTTCACAATTTTCTCTTCATTGCCCTATCAGTTAGGAGCAATTCACCGATCAAGTCTATCAGTAGTAATTTACCAATTCGCAGATCAAGTCTACATCACATGGATATAGCACACCAAAGGTGCCTCATTTTCAAATTTTGTTGAAAGTACCTCTATCAAAAAAAATAAAATGAACCTAATGCTTACATTCATATCAACCCACTTGAGATTTTTGCTATGTCAATCCACAATTACTTTTGAAGTTGATCATTCCTCCATCGTATATTCTACAACATACATAACTAAAAAACATATCATATATGAACAAAAATTCATAAAAATGTACATCAATAAACTCACAAACAAAAAATAGATATCTATAATAACTAAATAAAAAAAATCAAATAATAATCAAGTTATAAACATACAAAAAAGAATATTCCAACTAATAGTTAAAACATAAATCCCAAAAAAGACGATTAATATCGAATATCAGGCAATCATATACATAGAATTCCTCATCAACAATTTACACACAAAAATACCTCGCAATAGATTGATGTCGAATACATTCCCTCAGCATAGCTCCATAATGTAAAGCAATATCCATATTCTCGTATCTACAAATAACAAAATAATAATAATTGTCAGCCCAATTAAAAATATATAAAATTAATAGATTAAATTTCTAGTTTCTGTATTAAAATTGCAACTATCATGAAGTACTCAAGAAAACCTTTTTTTTTTACAATTAAAAAAATGTTTTGCAGTTTCTCATCAACAAACTCTAACTTACAATATTGTTGAACTATTTATTATTTTAATCACTTCAAAAGTTAATAGCTCACCCAGTTATCAAAGTATCCAAAACATCTTTGTTTGTTTCCAGATAGTCAGAAGCAATTAATCGTGAGTGGACCTGTTGCCTTTGCAAATTTGCAACTACTTGCGTAGCATCTTTTCGAGCCTGTAAAAATAAAGGAGTAAATGTAACGGAATGAGCACCATAGAATATATCATTACAAACAATTAAATATTGATAAAAAGAGGAAAACAAGTATAATTACTCTGATATAGCCTGAAAAGCCATTTAACTAATCAGCTTGAGAAGTCTTTTGAAGATATATAATAAGCAATAATGTAAGCAATAAGCATGCACTGTTCAAACACATGTACCTCAAGGTTAAGTTTTGGAAGACAGGTTATTAGCAGACGCAGTGTGTTTTCTTTGAAAAACTCTTGTGTCAGTTGCGCACAAGCTTCAGACACTGGTTCAGCTTCACTATTCCCATACAGAATAGATTTTAACTCCCGGAAAAGTTTTGAGAGTTCAATCACCTGCAGCAATAATGTATTGCATAAATTTGACAATGACCCGTAAAGATCAAAAGTAAATAAAATCAACATACATAATATAAAAAAATACAGGAATAAAGAATTCGTGTACAAAACACACTAAATTTTGCATAATAAGCCATGGAAGAAAAATATACATAAAAGCATAGGAAGATGGCCTAAACAACATAAAAGCCCAAAATATAGCAATACTTAAAAAGACTTGATAACACTAACGTCCAAAAGAAAATGTACAACAACAACAATAATAACATCAAGCCTTTATCCCACTACATGGGGCCAACTACATGAATCTTTTTTCTTCATTGTGTTTAATGATATAAAATATACTCAGACACGTCCTAACTGTATATCTAGACTCTATGGCATACATAACTACTGATGACAACGATCACAATGACAATGATGGTAATGAGTAGCATGCACTGCATTAACAGTCCACTGCTTCGGAGTAAGGGTGTCAAAATGGGTTCTCGGATCGGGTTCGGGTTAAACCAAAACTGACCCGACTTCAATTGACTCGACCCATGCCAGCAAAGGGAATCCAGATATTGCCTAAGGAACACACTACAATCAGCCATCACGAAAAGATATGGGCCAAGCGCATTAAGAAAAAAACAGCCCAAAGATTAAATACCCGCATAGCCAACAAGGAAGCAAGAAAACATAAAGAAAATATAAAAAATATCTAGCTTTGCTTGCATCAAAGTAGTTTGGGTAAGTTTCCATATAAGCTATCTAACACAAGTTTATTTCAAAACTAGCAATTAATACAACGAAGATGAGAGAGGGCGTGATCATGCTGATGGAGATGATGAGGTGACATAAGTGACTTGGAAAGTCAAAATAATAACTTGACTAGAGGTCATCTTTGGTGGCGGTGATCAACAGGTGGCCAAAAGGACAAATTTGGGCTAAAGAAATACGTGAAAAGATTAGACTGAATCAAGTTCGAGACCAAAAGCATGATAATGACATAACAAATGGCATGGCTGCTACATAAGACCCAAATACAAGAAATAGCCCAAATAATTCAAAGGCCAAAAATAATAACAGGCTAAAAAATCACAGCAATACTAGGGTCCAAAAGAAAATTACATAAGAAAAAAAATGCACCCAAAAATGTTTGAGTGACATTAAATCTAAACTATTTGGCATGCATAGCTGTTAATAACAGCAACGATGATGACTGTGATGCCCTGTTAGATGATGAAATAGAAAAAAAAATGGTGAAAACTTCGAATACAAGTTAAGCATGCATTGTTTATTAAACCAATTAAATTTTTTTAATTAAGCAATTTAGGCTTGCAATACAGCGACAAACTCATTACTCTAAAGAGATGGCAATAATAATTAATTTGCAACGTTTTAAGCAAAATAGTTAGTGCTGATGAATAGTGGTTCCTTTCTTAGCATAGTTCCTTATGTTGAATAAGTTAATTTTGACTTTAAGAAACCACCATGAAATGGATAAAAATTAAAGAATTTAGGTAGTCATTATTTTTTGTCCTTTTTTTTTAAAATAGGTAGTAATTCTTTAGGTGCGCAACCTTTGCATCCTTGGATTCAGCTCATCTTCGGTTCTCAAAAAACTATTGAAAAAACAAAGAAAGGTTCTGAAATGATTCAGCCTCTTAAAAGACCAAACTTGCTGGAAAACCTGTCTGAAGAAGTAAGATCGGGACCATGAAATAACTCCCATTGCAATCCATCTCTCATACACATGCAATAATCAAACAGAAAGTGATATAGCAGAGATGGAATGAAAAAACAGAAAAGAAAGGGATTGGTGAAGTTTCAAAAACTTTGATGGTCCAACAAATTTCTTGAAAGGGAGGAAATTGCTCAATTGGTGTCTTCTACTCTTCTCTCTCATTTATATCCTATTTATTTACTTCTGGGATTGGAACTATGACAAACAGAAGATGAAGTTTTAATCTAATCCTAAAAAATATTTTATGAAAATAATTATAATAATGCAATACAGGGTGATGGAACATATACAAACCAAATGTTGACATCAGAAACGCCCAAACAAACAATGAATACAATAAAATCACACAATTGCCGCCGGGAAGTAAAATTTCAAACAGTGCGAGATTAAAAGCGAAGGAAGGATGTAAAATTGCAGAGAGTGAAACCGGACTTTCTCCTCGCACTTGGCCTCGCGGGTACTCCAGTTGAGATCGATATAGATAAGAAGGTCGCGAGTCTGCCGCACGACTTCGGCCGGCGTACGAGGCTTCGACTTGAAGAGCCCCTTCATACTATTCTTCCGATTGGAGCAACAAAGCCTTCCAGATTGCACTGGTGGCCGGAGGCGCGGTTGCTAGGGCTACAGGCAGAGGGGAAAAGAGTTCGACTTGCGCTCTCTCCTCGACAGCAAGTAGCGAAGCAGCGCAGCTATTCACTCGGAAAGCAGAAAATATCGGCGTGGGAGATCACAGGAGAGATTGTTACGTGCGGAGTCGGCGTTCGATTCTTTTCCTCTCAACACGGGTGAACAGTAAAAGAACCGTCTGTATTTTTAGAAATTATTGGTCGGGTACAATGAAAATGCGCCACATCACCTCCTACGTAGTATTGGGTACCGAACAGTACCAAACAGTACGGAGCTCGGTACTGCCCAGTACTCAGTACTTTACAGTACCCAGTACTTTACAGTACCAAATAGTACCGTGCTCGGTACTACTCAGTATGGAGCTTAGTACTGCTCGGTACTCAGTACTTTACAGTACCGAGCTCAATACTGCTCAGTACTGTAAATACCGAACGTAAACTGTGTTTGGTGACTTGACCCAATAACTTCCCCTTGTATTTTTGCTGTTTTTTTATTATTCACTGCCACAAAATTGGATAATTCTTTTTGAGATTATTAAGTACGGAATTCAGACAAAGGAATCATTTTATTTGTAAATTTGAATGGTAAAATTGCATTTATTGTTTATCTTTGTGATTTTATTTCATTTTTACTATTTAAAATCATAAAATTGAACGATTCTCTGTGTTCAGACTCCGTACATAAGAGACGCTTGTCGGTTCTGATATCTAACAAATCCCTCTTCTAGGTGTATAGGTTGATTTGATTTATAGTTGTTAGTTTTTTACTATTCGTGATTTTTATTTTTATTCCTCAAAAAAATAAAAACTTTTAATTTTTTATCTATGCATTATAAAATAAACTTAATGCAAAAGAATTCTAAAATGGGATGATAAGAATTTAAAATTCAACAATTTGGTGTTATTAAAAATCATTAGATTATTTTCATGTGTTTAATTAGAATTAATAAATGGATGGACCTACGCACGATTTACTCAAGCTTTTATGAAAATACTGCCAAATAGTCAAAATGTGTGGCTTAAATCTTATGGTATGTTTAATTAAGTTCCTCCCTAATTTCGTGGTTAATCTTGTAGTTTGTTAGATTCAACTAAATTTTAGCAAACATAAGCACATGTAAGGGAGAGATTATTAGGTGCGGAGTGCAGACGGGGAGAACCGTTCGCACAAGCATTGGGTACCTAACGATACTCGCACTCGGTATTGCTGGGTACCGCTAGGTACCCAGTACTTGTGCGGACGGTGCGCACTCCACACCTAATAATTTTTTCATGTAAGGGGGAGAAAGACTACTTTTGTCAACAAGCTCCCCACATGATTTCCTCGCATCTTTTTATCGTATGGGAATTTGGGAATTTTGATGGGAGAGGAAGGGGAGAAAGATGAGGGTTATATTGATATAATATGATTTTATCCATGGAATAAACTATTAATTAAAATACTTTATCATGTTAATTATAAATTAATAAAGAAATTTAATAAATTGTTGATTAACATTATTAATGACCGATTAAATAAATAATAGCACTTTGTTAATTAAAAAAATCATTTAGCTAATTGATTAACTAATTAGAATGTTAGTTGCACTAATGATCGTAGGCAATGAGATTTCATGTTTTAATTTTATCATCAATAATAATTATTAAAATCTGATTAGAGCTAACATACTTAAGTCTTGAAATAAGCGGCTAAACAATTCATCAAGATTTAGTTGGATCTAGACTCTATTATGCCAAACAATTTTTAGAATTTCATTGCCTTAGGAATTGCTAAATTAGAATTTACAAAATTTGCTAAATCCTAATTCTATAAATCTTACTTACATCTAAATATTCCCAAAAGGTGGGATTTGTAATTACTCCAAATATTAATTTGTATTTATTTTTCGTCCAATCAAACATCAAAAACTTGAAAACCCACACATTTGAAATACATTGCTATCCTTAGAAATTATATTCTATCTCCCAATCTATCATAATCCCAAATCCCATCCAATTTGGAGGATTTTCTTAGGTTTTTTAAAATTTGTTAAGATTTTTTTTAATAATAATTATTTGTTTTATGTTTTCATTTTTATAATTTCAAGAATATAATTCTTTTTTAATATTCATTTATGCTTAACCAAATAGTAAATTAATATTCATTTATGCTTAATTTCAAGAAGACATGAAAGATGAATGCTTCTGGAAATAATGCAAATGGATTGAGGTTTTTCAAGCACTTTGTGCTCTTACATTATATGTTGTAAATTTTCATTTATTAATGCGGGTCCAATCACAAGATGGAAATGCAAGCCAATACATACTTTTATCCTTAATTTTGAATGAAAAAGAAAAAATAAAAAACTTTCTTTTTTATGCGTAAATATTGCTTTATATTTGTTGGGTTCATCGGTGCATTTAAAACGTGCAGCTCTCCGAGCACATAAATGTAATCAAAGATCACATGGAATAGTCTGAAATGTTGATCATTGATATCTAATTTCTTATTCATGTAACTTGTTGTGATGACAAGCATTACTTAAAAGACGAAATAGTTTATATTATGCACAAGAAATTCAATATATTAATGGGTAGCTGTTAGGCCAGCCCAGGAGGGGCCGGCTGGACCGGTCCAACCAGGACCGGTCTAGGTTTATTCCAGGCGGGGGCCTGGCTTGGCGGAAACAACAAGGGGGGCGGAAGCCCCTGTGGGCCCCACTTGGGGTTAAATCGGTTTTGGGAGGGAAATTTTTGAATGAGGGGCTGTTTTAAGTATTTTGTAATTTTCCTTTGTCTTTAATTAGGAGTTATGGTGAGAGTTTGGCTCTCATCTTGAATTTGAATTTTATTTGAGATATAGGATTTGTTCTTGGGCTCTTGGCATTGCCGGAGATTGTGAAGAATACATTCTTCCTCTCGGATCGAAGAACAATTATATCTTTGTTATTTTGCTTTTGCTTCTAGTGGAATACAAGTCTCTACTTGTGTTTTTCTCTCAGTTTTCCCTATTTCCTGTTGTTTTACTGCTGTGGACAGCAGTTTTGTTGTTGTGTTTTTACTGGTTTGGATTAGAATTGCTTGTGAACTCAAGTATTACCTTATGGTTACTTGCGAACTCCAGTATTTCTTATCAGTAGCCTGCAAGAAAATCTTCCATAACTTTGATGCGTGTGGAAGAAATACATGCTAGCTACGAATGATAGATGAATAAATTGAGTAATTATCTTTATTGTGTTATTTTCCTACTAAAATCTATTATGTAAGAAAAAGCAATTAGAACTGTGTAGATTTCCTACTAAAATCTATTATGGAGGCTTCTTTGAACAAATTTTAGAGATTTTTGACTCCTCAATATATTGTGTAATTTTTTTATCTTTCAAATTTCAACCAATTCTTGAGTTGCATAAAGGGTTTATAGGCACAAATAAACTTTACTATTACTGGTGATTGTGGATGAAAAGGTTGAGCATTGTGCCATGATGAGGCTAACTCACATGACGAGCAAATTGTTAGCGGAAGAGAAATATGATTCTTTTAAAGAAGCGTCTCTAATGCCATACAGTAAGAGTAAGAAATGCTCATATCTATCATAAGTGCGATAAATAGGCCCCCAGAATGAAGAGATTATTACGTGCAAGTCCGAGCAGAAAAATTATCCGGATTCTGCGAGTGTGCATAGTAAAAGCATAATGTGCACAATAATTGTGTTTTTACTGCGCACACTCACAGAATTCAGACAATTCTCCGGTCCGAACTCCGCACGTAATAATCTCTCCCGAAAATGATCATATTTGAGAAAAATCCTAGCCTTATTGGGAGCATAATTTAAGAACATCTAGTTTTGTAGCCGAAAAGTCATAGATTGATATTCTAGAATTGACATAAATATTTAATATCAAGAAGCAAAGAAATGCTTTGAACAAAGAAAGTCTAGAGAGAGAGAGAGTAGTGATTTTACATTTTCTATGAGTGGAGGCATCTAATAAGGGCAAGGATCAAAAAGGAATTTTAGCCTAAATATGGCTAGCTTGATGTGTTACAATATGTTCTTAAAGATCTAAATGTGTTTCTAAAGGCCAAACAAGGGTCAAGGAGCCTAAGGACAAATGAGGCTAAGCTTCAAGATCTGATGTTGATCAACAGCGAGCTACACACATAGTGTAGGACAAATTATCACCGACTAATTTTTCTACAGATTTTCCGACGGATTGAAAACGGCTTTGGTTTCAATGGCGTTTCCGTTAGCTTTTCCATCATATTTTAATTCTTATATTTTAAATAAAAAATGTGACATTTAAATACTTTTGCCTTCCGACCAAACTAGTTAGGTCTTTGAAATCATACTCACTTCGAATCCCAACGCATGCGAGCAACGCGGGAGGCAGCTGGGCAACCTGGCGGGAAAATATCACCATAGGAAATTAGCCGCCGGTTTTCCTTTCTACGCGACTTTTACCAGCTGAAAAATATCCGTCGGAAAGCCGCCAAAAATTCGCCAATTTCCTTCGAAAAAATCCACGGCTATTTGACGATTTCAAATGTGCTCTAACTCATCATAAAACATGCATTCTAATTAGAATAAATTATAATTCTTATAAAATAAATTATTATATAAATATGTATAATATTTATTACATAAAGGTACATATATTTGGATGAAAAATTATTGGGGATAAAGGTATTTTTTAAAAGTGATTATCATAAAAAATGAGTGAGAACGATGAAAAAATAATTGTCAAATAAAAATAATAATATAGATCTAAAAAATAAAATAGAAAAAAAATTATCTCAAGTGGAGTCTAAAGCTTTATTTGGATGAATTTATTATTGTTTCTTAAAATAGTTTTTTACAAATTTTTTTTTCTATTTTTAGACTACAATACTGTTTAAAAAAATAGTAAAAAAAACAAAGAAAACCCGTCCCAAATGAGAGAGATTATTTCCGGACTTGTCCCAAAGTGAATTATAATGCATTATGCATTAGGTGATGATGCGCCTCCTCATTCGAATCCGCACATAATAATTTTTTCCCAAATAAAACTTAAAACACATGAACTTAGACTAGCAATCAAGAGGTCTTAGAATCCAGTGTTGTGTATATAATATATGTGTGAGATTACTTTAACCTGCTCAAAAGCCCCCCCAAAAAAAGAGGCTAAATTTAACAGATAATAAAAATCAGGATACCGATAGAGCGACGCAGAATGCATGGATTGAGTATCCCACCATCACAACTCTCCTTGGCCTATTGGTTGAGAGCTAAGGCTTCCAACTAAGAAGTCTAAGGTTCGAGTCTTTTTGTTTGCGTTGTGTGTGTGAATTTGCCTTAAATGGCCTAAATGTCCCCAAAAAAAAAAAATCCCACCATTGAAAGCCAGCAATTCATTCTGGTCCACCGTCCATATGAACAGTATCTTATCCCACACAAGCATAATTATTTTTATATCATTTTAACCAAAACATCAAAACATTCCAAGTACCATATAAAATAGATTAAAAAAGAGGTTACTTCTAGAAATTTCACACAGTAAGATAGATACCAACACACATCATTCTCTGCGTCCCATGGCCTACTCTATTACGTGCAGGAACGAGATGAGCTCGCGGAACTTCTCCCATGGTTTATCCCAGACAGTGGCCTGGTACTTCCTCACGGTGACGGCGCCGCCGCCGCCGCTGCCGGAGATTTCAGAAACCTTGATGATGAGACGATATTTCACGCCGGAAATAACCTGGGTCTCGCCGCTCAGCACGCGGCTCAGTGTCAAAGCACTATTGACCTTCTTATTGTTCTCCGCCACCGCAAACTTGGCGATCTCCTGTACATAGGGATCGGACAAGTTCTTGATCGGCTTCCACCCGCCCAACGTCGGCGGGCTGTTGCCGCCGGTGGCGGAGAAGAGATCGGCGAATAGGAGTAGGGCGGAGAGGAAGAGAAGGGATCGCATTTCTTTTTTGTGGGGTTTGGGGATTTAGGAAGGAATCGGGATTTATTGGAATTTAGGGAAGTCGGTTTGACGAGCGTGATGGAGTGGGGCCCAGAAGGGGAACATGGGGCGTGTTTTGGGATCGTGAAAGATTTTGATTGAATCGTGACCGTTGGAATGGACGCGGAAACCGAGAGAGTTATGGTGATTCACGTGGTATTAATCGTGGAACAATTATTATATGGACGTTGAGGAAGTTGAAGATAAAATTCGGTCAAAAAATGAGTTGGACCAAGCAAATACCGAACAATACCAAATAATAACGAGAAATATCATCATTTGAAGACTCAATATCGAGTTATACCGAGAAATACCGAGTTATACAAATGTTGTACCGAGTTTTTCCGTCTTCAAAGAGCGGTATTCCTCGCTAATATCAAATAATACATAGTTGTACCAAACAAATACCGAGTTTTTTGGCGGGATTTTGCCTCCAACCGGACGTTCCTCTACGTCCTTACACCGGACGTAATAAAAGTTCATTAATCGTGGGATAATTTACGGGCGTTTAAAAATGACCCAATGCATCTCTTTCATTCGAATGTGATCCAAAACAATTCAGACACACGGGTTTGACCCGTTTAATAATTGGATCGGGTTCAGATTTATTTAAGAATTATTATTTTTAAAATATTTTAATTTATGAGTATAATCTTTTTTTTTTTTTTGAATATTTTAAATTTTTTATTTAATAAGTTAAAAAAAAAAAAAAGTTAACGAGTAGTATTTAGGTTATTCAGGATGCAGGTGGGTTATGTCGGAATTGATTTTTTATATGCTTATTAAATGGGGCTAGTTCGACTTGATTGGATTTGAGCTAGATATGAGGGTGACCCACCAATAAGTTTTGACGCCTCTAATAATGGGCAAATTATTGTGTTCGGATACGTCCGGACACCAATAAAAATATGCCACGTCACTCAAAAATATCGGGGCCCAGTGCATCCGGATGAGTTGGCGTTTTTGGATTGGCTGGCCGCATGTCAGGTGACCGGATGCAATAATTTGCCCTAATAATGAGGTAGAAACTCATAAGCATAATTTTAGAAAAAACTTTTTTTTTTTCTCATGAGAAAAATATTAATTAAATGTGAAGGAATTGACTTACATTATTGAAGCAACTTGGGAGTTGGCCAGCCCCACCCGTCACTCTTTTTTATTTTAAAAAGTGTTAAATCATATAAAAATGAAATAACATAAATAGTTATAATAATATTAAATTCTTATTTTGAAAAACAAAACTTATAAATTCGTAATATTTTATTTTGTTTTATTTTGAAATTATTAGAATTTTGAGCTAAAAAAAATTATTTATACTATACATGCATACCATATTGATTTTAATTATTGTATGATATTGATTTCACAATATCTTAATCACATGAGGAACTTGTTTTAGTATTTATATATCATCAAAAAATTATCTTGATCGGGCACGAATCTCGAGGCAAAATCAAGCCAGAAATTTCAAAAAATAAATCCAGGATCACCTAAACTCCGATTTCAGCAAACTTATAGTCAAACCGAGCGTCTCAAAAATACGAACCCAACGACAACAAATTCAACTTAATCCGAGCCCAAATGAGACCAAATCAAAGACCCGAAGCACTATTAGAAAGTTCGAAACATAATTTGAGCTACCAAATGATTTCCAAACATGACGTGCTTATTGTTGAATCGAGCGGTTCAACGAAAAGAATCCAACGATCCCAAGATCGCCGAATTCCGACATCATTAAGACCTTTAAATGTTTCACGAACGGTTCACAATCAAGGGATTCAATATAGTCCGTCCATCAAACCACTCCACATTTGTCCTTGATCCTCCTCATATTTACGGGTCATGCCATTCTAAAAAAACTATAAATAGTTCATCATTTCTCTTAAGAGGGGACTCAAGCAAGAAGAAGAGAATGATATGAGGGAAGAATTCCTCCTCGACCACCGCTGGAGTTCTGCCTGACGCCCAAGTGATGCCGGAGTTCTGCCCGACACCCAAGTGACGTCGGAATTCTTCCCAAGCAACGTCGGAATGCTGCCTAAGTGACGCCATAATTTTGCTTGACGTTCAAGTCACGCCGAAACTCTGCCTGATTTCCAAGCGACGCTGGAATTCTAAGTGACTCTGAATTCAACTTGAATACACAACTTGTGTGTAACTGGACTTAAATTCGGGAGTAAATCATTGTAATATGATTGTCCTCAATTCTAAGGATAAGTCAGCCTCTTGTATCTCAAGCAAACACTAGTGAAACTTTTTCAATTGGGCATGACCCAATGGGTTTTTTCCTTTTTAAGGTTTCCCATGTAAAAATTCGTGTTTTTATTTCTCTCATGTTTGTGTGCTAGATATCCTACAACGCTTAGACAGAAATTTTCTAACTCTATCGCCCCGTATATTCTAGTCTGCAGCAGATATGATTTCTTTTTATGTATACATACATGTGATGTTATTAATGTGACATCGATGTCAAGATTAAAATACATGCATTCGATATTAAGATATAAATGTGATTAAGATAATGACATGATACTAGTACTGAATTTGCATGTGTAGATTTTATATGTTATAAATGTATAAAAGAATGGATTTTTTGGTCTTACATGAATATTTTATGGTTTCTATAACTTATGATTATCAGATTCACTGAATTGCATAGAATTGTGTCATATTGAATGGCTTCAATTATGATTGAAACAAAAGATATATATTATCTCTTTTTTTAGCTTTGAGTTTAGTTGTATGATTTGGTGATTTGTTGAACTTGAAAGCTAATTATATAGATTTAATTAATTTTCAGATTGGGAAAAGGATCTAATGCTATGAGATGGGATTTTCAAATTTAGTTTTTTTTTTCTTTTATAGCAAGAAGTTTTGGTAAACAAAGAATATAATTCATTGAACTTCTAGTTATTGTAAATGATTTAATATACAATTGATTATAGATGTTTTGATAGATAAGATTTCTTTTACTAGTTATTTTCCTATCAATTGAAATTAGTAGCTTTGGTGGGAGAGATAAAAGATATAATTCTTCCAATTTTAATCTTGAGGCATGATACTATCCTCTTCTCTCTCCTTCCTCTCTTCAATTCTGAGCCAAGCAACAACAAATTAATTTTATTTAACTTTATTTGGGTGCTGGGGGAATTAAAAGAATTTTTTTAATATTTTATGAAAAATAAATTTTTTATCCAACGTTGCGGCACCGATCGAAGACCCCAGTGTCATCGCGCTCAATCAAATTCAAGAGTTTGGCATCAAAGTGCCATAGCTACAATGCTGCCAAATTTCCTAAAATTTAGTTAAATTAAACTTAATGTTATTACATGCCATCTTCCTTCCAACATTGTCGGACCACTACCACCCAACTTTTGTTAGTTGACTTGTTAGAACATCAAAAATCACCTTGCTTGAGCACTAATCTTGAGGCATATTCAAGTTGGAAATTTCCAAAATTAAACTTCGGACAATCCAAACTCTAATTTTGTAAACTTATAGTCAAACTAGATGTCTTGAAGAGACGAACCCAATAACACCAAAATCGATCCAGTCTGAGCCAAAATTGGCCCAAATCACGGGACCAAAGCACATTTAGAAGGTTCAAAAAAATAAATTAAATGATGAGATGATATCAAAATATAGCATATTTATAGTAAAATTGAGCAGCTCGATAAGACAAAACCAACAAACAGATGATCATTTAATTTTGATATCATTTGGTTTGACAAATGCTCTATGATCGAGAGGATCAATATGGGACGTCTTATGGAGCACTATGAATTTTCCCCTATATCTTCTCCATATGTATGAGGTTTATAAATAGACCACCATTTTCCACATGAAAGGAGGGTTTGGACCTTTTGGCCGGAGATGGAATAGAGTTATGAGGCTTCTATGATCTTAGAGTTATTGTGACGTCCCAGACATCTATAGTGAAAGGATTCATCGACATACTTTTCTTCTTATTCTTTCTTCTCTCGCTCAGATCAATACATACATCCAGAAATGATACTTGCATTAAAGAAAATGAAAACACTATAAAAATATAATTCACATTAGGACATTTCATAATTACAATCCAAAAGTGGCGTCCAATAGAACATATACAATAGCCACACAAGCTACAAAATAATGTATGAACCAAAAAACTACGAAACTACACTAGTATCTGAAAGAAGCTTCACGTGGGAGGCTCTGCACCTGAAATCATTAACCACATATAATGAGCTTAAAAAGTCCAGCAGGTCACCAAGCCTACAACTGAAATCAAAGCACGGTACGGAAGCAATATGCATGTCAATCAATCAAATCAATATTAGACACTTACACATGATCATTGAATCAATGCAGAAATAAAGTAATCAATACAGAAACGGTAGTCAATACAGAAACATGTGAATCCATAATCATCAGTAGAAGAATCAATAAACAGTATAAAAGTTCGTAAAGCTCAATGAATCAGTATGTGCGTCAAATCAATAAAGAAATTATCGGATCAATCATATCAGTCAGTATCAAGAGAAATCAATTCATGTTAATAATACCAATCGATATGAAATCACATAAAACAATCAAATCAATACATCGTTAAGAACAGTTACAATCACAGCAATATAGTAAAAGCATATTTTATATCACGTGTTCGGTATATCACATGCAATACAGTTAATCTATATCACTTGCTCGGTGAATCACATATTATCAATCTTATAAGTGTATCACTTGTACAGTCAGTATTCGGTGTATCACGTGCTATAAGATTAGTATAATAAATCAATAGTATCGGTGAATCAGTAGTATCGGTGAATCAGTAGTAGAATCGATAAACAATATGTAATATCAATGAAATCATGCAGTGATGGTAAACTCATAAATTCGTCAATAAATCCATTCAATATCAATAAATCCGTCGATATCAATAAATTCATACATAAATTAATAAGTCCGTTCAATATCGATAAATCAGTTCTCAATATTGATAAATCAGTTCAATATTGGTAAATCATAAAGTAATCATAAGAACAATACTTTACACATGCATTCCAATACAATAGTCTTACTTAACAAGTACAATCACTGGCTATTAAGGCGTTTTTCAAGGTTAGTATCGATGTTAGTAATCCGTTGGCTCAGACGCTCAGTAAATAGAGTCGTCACCCTTGCCCGTCGGCACAGTAATCTCCTTATAACTCCCTTCAGTAATCACATGATCAGTAGAGGATAACACCAAACCCTTTTTAAATGAAAGCCCGTCGGCCCACCATCATGTACAAGTCAATCTTCAACCAACGGCTCAACCAGTCTTTACTTGTCTTTCAATAATATAATAGTATTTCAATCATATATCCACATTCATATACATCTCATTAATGCATTGAAATCAACAAGCACGATTAGCTCAAATGAAGAGAATCCTTAAAATATCGTACAGTCGACAGAAATCCCAAATAGAGTCAAAATATACAATTCAAAAAAATTACCAAATTACCAGAAATCGAATAAAACATCATTTCAAGACTTTACTTGTACTAAAGCAATATTTTCTAACATATAGATAATTTTCTATTCGATAAAAATTCACATAATTCAAAATATCCGGTGAAAACTTCACAGAAAATACTCAAATTGTACAAAATCATCATTTCAACAACATACCAAAAGTTACGCGGTATATGAGCAGAAAAATATGCAATAATTTCGGTAACGGAAACACAAAATTGAGTATAAAAATATCAAAACTCCAAATCTTCGAAATCAGAAATAGGATTCGGATTCCTTGCTTCGAGACAAACAATTCTTTCAATAGCGACGTCAGACGAAAATCGCACCGCGGCCTCCAAAACCAAGGCTTTCCTCTTCTCTTTCTCTCTCCAATATTCTCTCTCATCAAAATATCTCAAACGATCCATAAATAGAGAAAAGATCTTTACGTTCGTCCAGACGATGTTCCCCATTCGTCCCGGGACGAAGCTCTCTGGACACGGGCGTACAAACGATAATTAAGTTCGTCCCTGGATGATCCTCTCGGGAAAAATGTTGTTCTGTTCGTCCCGGACGAACTCAGGTTCGTCCAGACGAACCTGCATTTTACTCAGTTCGTCCAAACAGTTCGTCCGTACTAACCATACAGATTTTCATAATTTTCTTCAGTTCGTCCCGTACTAAGGTCAGTTTGTACATACTAACTGCACTAAAAAATATGAAATATGGAGGGGTTTTACAGTTATACCCAAACACCATCATTGGTGAACTTCGGTCAACCACCACGTAGTCGGCTACTATTATCAGACCGCTGTCTATTTTCCGAATGATGCCGGACTAATGTCCGTGTACTTTGACCCAAACAAATACATTTTTAGGAGTCATTATATGCCAAATTTGCAAATCATCTTCGCCATAAAGATTGATATTATTATGTTTTAATAATATTAATTTTTTCATAATTTTTTAGCACTAATGCAAATTCTCAAGAAATTGACACTATCAGTATGAGTAGGGATTTTGGTATCGTCATGTGTCCATTTTATAAATCAATTTTACTTAAATTTTTTGAAATAAAATAAGTTAATTTATAAATATTTTTCTATAATTTTTAAAATCATAAAAAAAAATTAAATGAATTTTATATTAAAAATTTGATTTTCTTAGCCAATTGAGTTGGAAAATTTACATGTCTCACTGTAAGTTGTAAGGAACCTTTATCCTAGTTATGATTTAAATAATTTTATGTTTTTGATATTTTTTTTATCAAATTTATATTTTTATTACCAAAAAATAAGAATAATTTTGTATTGATAAAATATTTACCGCATAACTTTTGGTATATGATAGATCTCATCAATATGAGCATTTTGATACTAATATATTATATTTTCTCCGATTAAATTAAAATATATAATTTTTTTAAAGTAAATGTATAGTATATAATTTTGATAGATTTCTTTATATTATATATTTATGTAATTCATACATGATATTGATTTACATTGCATGAAAAATTAAAGATAGTATTTGCATGTAAGCAAGGAAAGTTGGCTGTTAGGACTATAATGAATACATGTTAGCTCTTAAAATATAATAGCCTACGCATGAGGGTGGGCCAACAGGCTTTCCTTTAATTAAAAGATTGGTGAAGTAATTCTAGTTTTAATCTATAACTGATTGACTGAATTAAGCCGACGGATAGAGGGTGACGACTCTTAAATGATTATTGAAAGTCACATATAAAAAGAATAATTAATTAATTAATTAATATAAGATAAGATTAACAAATTGATAGCTATGACATATAATAAATGCATGGAAGAAAACACAACATTACCTATCTGTTAGGAGCTATAAAAAAAAATACTGGCATGATTCATTGGGTGATAATACTCTTTACTACATGTTTTATAGTTTGATAGATCTCATTTGATTTCACTGATTATATTGATTTTATTATTAATTTTGAGATTTTTATTGCTCGTATTAAGTGAAGATAGACATTGATTATAATTGAATATACATATTAATTCTTTTGTCTTGCATTAAGAATAATAATATAGTTTTGATTTTATGTTGGCTTTTTAGCTCATTATATGAATTTTAATAATTTCATGTCAGGGAAGGGGCCATGATCATGAGCAATGATACTAATAAAAATAATCAAGTTTTTCTTTAGATATTGCTCTACATTTTCTTTTTGTTCTTTCGTAGTCAGGAGCTTGTGATATATTAATGATTATACAAATCTTCTAGCTATTGTACATTGATTTTGGGAGAATGAATATTGTGCATTATTTGAGGTATATAATTATTAGTTTATTTCACTAGATATATATTAATTATTTTGATGATTTATAGAAGCCCTGATTGATTAATTAATAAGACATAATAAATAAATTTTCAAATTTAATTTTAGTCTGTCCACTAATGGCTGTCGGACTTCAACCTAGCCATTGACGCTGCTGGAGATCCACTCGATCGTCGTCCCAACCCACTTACCACCATTGGACTTCCACACGATCGCTGAACTTCCACCCAACCAACTTATGTCCACCATCATCTCGTCAACTATGACCCCTCTGACCATCATCACCCACCAAAAGGTCCCACCGACCACCTTCACTCGACTACGGTCCCTCCGATCATTGTCGCCAACCGACTTTAGTCACTGTAACCACCATCACTAGCTGACTACGATCCGTCCGACTACCGTTACTCATTGACTTCGAACCCTCTAACCTCCATCGCCTGCTAACTGTGATATGTTTGGCCACCGTCACCTACCGACTACGGTCCATCAAACCTTAGTAGCTTTCATACGACCTTCGTAATCTAACTACGATCCTACCGACCAAAATGAATAGGCCAACGTTCCCTTAAGAACAACTCTCATATCACTGGATTCTTTTTACTCCCATAATGAAGTGTGCTATACATGATGAATATTTGCATTAAGCTAAGGCCTTGCCTCGAGGAAGAGCTCCATTTGTAATTAATAATAAACACTAGTGTAATCATTTTAATTGGACCAATCCCCGAAGTTATTTTCCTTTTCAGGGTTTTTCACACAAAAATTTTGGTGTCTTTTATGACTATTGCGTATCTTTTTTTATTTGTATGTGTTGGATCTTTATTTAAAGATAATACGTTAAACTCTATATATTTCTATAGTCACAAATGTTCTAGGACGCAACAAAATTGTCATTTTTTGACCACCATCATGGAACCACCGCCACTCGAATACCGTCATTGAACCACAAACATTGCGGGATCACTATCATTGGATGGACACCACCCAACCCCATAGGCCAATTGGCAGGCCATCATAGCCCTATCATAATTGTCAGAACTCACAACAGCACCATCGTCGGATGGTTATTTTTGATATTTTTAGTGTGAATTTTGCCCATTTTGTCAATTCTTTTGCAATGTTATTTACTTATTTGTTTAAATTAGATTATATTTTTTGTTGGGAAAATAATTAAATTATGCTTTTTTCAGCGCCAAGCAGATAAACCGCTTCTTCGCCCCTCCGACGAATTCCAATGGTGTCGTCTACACTCCAACACCATGGCTACTCAATACATTCTTCTAGGTTTCCGGCAACCCCCTCCGGTTCCATCCCACTTTCTCGGAACCATCTCCATCAAATTCTCTCCACAAAAACTCCGCCCAATCTACTCTGTCTGTTCACTCATCACTTCCCTTCATCCCACTTCTCTTCCTATAAACTAGTTGATCGTTGTAGAAGACCGTTGCGCTGTAATTTTTGCCATCAGGATTCCTTGGATTTCGAAAAAGAGAATGGCGATTTTGATGAGGTTGGAGAGGAAAACGGAGAGTTCTCGGAGCTCGAGTTGCTTGAACTTGACGAAGAGGCGCGCCGTGCCGCCAGAAAGTATTCCATCTCCTTGTCTAAGGAACTCGGCCTAGGTATTTTTTTTCTTTCTAATAGCTTCTTGCCACCTAGCTCAGCGATAGTAAATGTATTAATTTTTCATGAGGGATGATCGGAGTGGTCTGTTAATTGAATATATAATCATGAAGGTGGAGGGAAGGGAAGAAATATATATAATTTTCATCTTCTCTTGGAAACTTTAATGCTATGTATATTCTTTCTTTTAAACATAGTTTTGGTAGGAATCTTGAATCATCCTGTTTCCATCCATCCCATTTATTGGAGCATTTGTTATATTATTCTTTAGGTAATTTGTCCCCCTTTATTTATTTTTTAGTTTATATTACAAGGGTTTTTAAGCAATTGCCTCTCCTAAAAGGTTTAAAATACTATGGTCTTTAGGCAATTTCCCCAAGCTAACAATATATATAATTCATCATTTTATTTATTAATTTGAATTCCAAAAATATCTTTACAATCAAAATTTATTCCGGGGGCGCTGCCTTCGGAAACCCCAGCAGGGGCGTTGCCCCTTGACCCCGCGGTCGAACCACGCCATAGGGCGCTGCCCCTTTAGATCTCCGATATATCTACGAAGTGTACGACGATCAAGGATATGAACAAAATATGGGTCATTATTGACCCATTTTCTTGTAGTGAAGGGTCGAGTCAAATTCTAGGCAACACCAACAGATAATTATAAGTTTGCCCTCACTAAAAATTAAGGCTGATTCCGTCCTTGTATGCAATGTTAATTAGTATGATTAGTGATGATTATACTTTTTTAAATCATTTATTTTGGTTCTTGGATAGTTAGATAGGTTGACATCTTGATGACTGTTCATTTGACTGATATCTAGATGTCATCAACATACAACTTAAGCACCATTTACAAAATATAATTGTTAAAAGATGTCACCAAATCAAATAGGTGACATCTACAATATCATAGCATTACATAGCATACGTGAGTGAATCAAATAGTCCCTCACCGTGCAAGGTCTTACTTGGCATATTTGGTTCTTTTAGAGGATGAAACCTATGAAGGCAGGGGAGAGAAGTGGCAGGGGCAGAAAACTTTGAGTATACAGGTGAGTTTTCCTCTTTTTCTATTTTTTGTTTTTTTGCACAATGCACGTGTTCTATTTCTATGGAATGTGGAGTATAATTTGTGGAGTATAGCGATAGGAAATTTTCATATTACTAATAATGTGTGTAAATTTTGCTTAGATCCCCGATAATCTTCTCCCAAGGGTAGCAATAGTTGGAAGACCAAACGTGGGTAAATCTGCATTATTCAATCGCCTTGTTGGGGTACTATATTGATAATTTGCCTCAAATTCATCTAATGCCGCATGCTGGAGCGATAAAAATCATGAAATTATTTTGATTTATTTCAGGGGAATATGGCTATTGTTGTTGATGAACCTGGTGTTACTAGAGATCGTCTGTATGGAAGGTCTTTTTGGGGGGACCGGGAATTTTCAGTAATAGATACTGGTGGTGTCATGACTTTTTCAAGATCACATGATGATGTCATGGAGGAACTTGCCATTACTACAACTATAGGTATGGAAGGGATTTCTCTTGCTCTTAGGGAAGCAGCTGTTGCAAGGATGCCCTCTATGATCGAGAAGCAAGCTGCTGCTGCTGTGGAAGAAGCATCTGTTATTATATTTCTTGTAGATGGACAGGTATTGATTTTATTTGTAAATTTAGAAGTCGTTTTGCACGATTTTTTGTGCATGTTGTCTTTTATTATGCATTATTTACATTTAACTGAAATATGACAAAATTGTAGGTGCTTTGAAATTTATAAAATGAAAAGGCTAGTTTTTAATTTCAATTCAGGAGAAATGGCTATAGAGGAATTAAGTTAATGTGTCATACTTTAAAACTATGAGAGAGAGTTATGGAGCATAGGTTGTGGCGTGATACTAATATTTCTCAAAATCAATTTGGATTCATGCCGGGTATGTCTACTATGGAAGTTATACACTTATTGAGAGGTTTGATGGAGAAGTATAGAGAGAATAAGGAGGATCTATATATGATATTTATTGATTTAGAAAAAAAATATATGATAAAGTTCCAAGAGAAGTGCTATGGAAAGTTCTAGAAAAGAAAGGGATTGATAATATTTATATTCAAGTCATTAAGGATATGTATGCAGGAGCTGTTACTTGTGTTTAAGCACAAGGTGGTTTAACTGAGTATTTTCCTATTTCAGCTGGATTACATCAAGGATCAGCCTTAAGCCCATATCTTTTTGTTTTAGCCATGGAGGTTCTCAGTTCTCACTAAACATTTGCAAGAGGTTGTACCTTGGTGTATGCTTTTTGCTGATGATATTCTTCTTGTTAATAAGACTAGAGAGGGTGTTGAAGGTAAGCTTGAATTATGAATGTTAACCTTAGAGTCTAAAGGTTTTCATTTGAGTAGATCTAAAATTGAACATATGGAGTGTAATTTTAGTAGTAATAGATACAGTGGGGGAATTACGACTTTGGGCGATCAAGTCATTAATAAGAGTACACGTTTTTTATATATGGGGTCTATTGTTCAGAGTGATGGTGAAATATTTGGGGATATTTTTAGTAAAATTCAAGTTGGATGGTTGAAGTAGAGGAATACATCGGGCTTGTTCTGTGATAGAAAAACCCCCCTCAATCATAAGGGAAAATTTTATAAGATGGTGACGAGACCTGCAATGCTTTATGGTGCAAAATGTTGGCTATTAAAAGAGTAGCATAATATTAAGTGAAGTGTTGCAGAGATGAGGATGCTTAGGCTGATGAGTGGCTTTACTCTTAGAGACATGATACAAAATGAGAATATACGTGAAAAGGTTGGAGTAGCTCAAGTGGAAGATAAGATTAGAGAGAGTCACCTTAGATTGTTTGGTCACATAAAATGATGGCCTTCCGATGACTCGGTTAAGAAAGTAGAGGTATTAGATTAGGCTTATGTTAAGAAAGGTAGAGATTGACCTAAAAAGACTTAGTTAGATATTATTAGAAATGAACTTTCTTTATTAGATTTAAATTAGAATTTGAGTCTTAATAGGACAGAAGGGAAAATGATTTTTGTAGCCGACCCCATGTAGTGGGATAAGGGCATAGTTTAAAATTGTGCAATAAGAGGCGCGCCTCTGCGCCATTCAGACCAAAAATGCCCCATAGCTTACTCAATTCAGGTTCCTCATGAGGCGTACGCCTCTTGCACTGTGAGGCGTGCCTCAAGGCGGAATTGCGCAATTATGGCTGAGGCGCACGCCTCTAATAAACGGGATCCACCCACTTAAGTTTAAGTGAAATAGGCCTCTCCCTCCCCTTTCATACACCCTACCCGAAACTTAGCAGGCAAAAAACTCGCACAAGCTCTCGGTCTCGCCTCCTGCACGCTCGGCCTCCCTTCCCTCCGCCTCTCTCGCTGGCGCAGCCTCTCTCCGGCGAACTTGAAGTGTCCGGCCGCCCTCTAGGAGAAGTCCACAATCGATTTTAGGTATTTTTTTAGTTTATAATTAGATTTTTCAAGTGAAAGAAAATCTAGGGTTTTTTATTTTTTGAATTTTTTTGTTTGTTTTTGGATTTTTGCATTATGAAACATGGTTAGAGGCAAGGAAAAGGCAAATACGTCATTGCGGCGTGACCCTTCTTGGAAATATAGTGTGTAAGTTGACATAGGAGGCGGCGAGAAGATGTACGTGTATTTAAAATGCAATTTTTGTGATAAGGTGGTGAATGGAGGAGTAACTCGCATGAAGGAACACTTATCCTGCTCACATAAGAATGTAGCACATTGTGCGAATGTTCTGAATAACGTGAAGGAGGAAATTACAGCTTATATGAAAAAGAGTACGACGGCCAAACATTTATAACATGAGCAATTTGATGAAATGGTCGAAGATGGTGCTTACTTTGAGAGCGAGAGTGGAAAGGGCTCTTCCTCCACTATACATAATAGAGGTGCGCGGGATCCTATGGACCAATATATGACTACTCCAGGAGAGTATAGAGGACAAGCACAAATGATGCTTGCGGCTGGTACTAGAGAGGGTCGACGGCAGGTTTGCATGGATATTGACAGTTTTTTTTTAGAATGCCATACCATTCAATGTTGCGACATCGCCAGCCTACTTTAATATGCTGTGGTCTGTAGGGTTGTATGGGAGAGGGTTGAAGGCACCTTCCATGTATGAGTTGCGAACATGGATTTTAAAGGAGGAGCTGTAGAACATAGAACATAGAACATAGCATTGATGAGATTAAACAGACATAGATTGAGACTGGTTTTACCATTATGTCAGATGGGTGGTCTGACATGAAGAGCAGGAGCTTGATTAATATCCTTGTCAACAATCCCTACAACACCGTGTTTTTACGATCAGTTGAAGTTTCAGATGAGGTTAAAAATGCTGAATTCATTTTCAATTTATTAGATGGGGTTGTTGAGGAGATTGGGGAGCAATTGGTTGTTCATGTGGTGACTGACAATGCCAATGCATACAAAGCAGCTGGTCAGATGTTAATGGAGAAGAGGAAACACCTGTATTGGACCCCCTGCGCAACACATTGCATTGATCTTATATTGGAGGAACTTGATGATTTACCTCAACATAAGAGTGCTCTTTCAATGGCGAAGAAGATCACAAAGTTCATATACAATCACTCATGGGTCTTAGCTTTATTGAGAAAGTTTTCAAAGAAGGAAATCATCCGTCCTGCAACCACTAGGTTCGTTATTACATTTGTTTACTTCAAATCATTTTCAATTCCTAATGCAAATTTATTCTACAGATTTGCCACATCTTATTTGACATTGTAGAGCCTGTTGGATGTGAGACAACCTCTTGAAGCAATGTTTACATCAACACAATGGCTTAATTCTGCATGGGGGAAGAAAACTGAGGGGAAGGAAATACGAAGGCTTATTTAAAATGATAAATTTTGGGCCACTGTGACCTATGCCATATTGAGCACGAGTCCCTTGGTATAAGTCCTATGTTTAGTGGATGCCGAGAAGAAACCAGCCATGAGTTTTATTTATAATGCTATGGATGAGGTGAAGGGGTTGATTGCATAAGGGCTTGATTTTGTTGTTTTTGTGTTGTTGAGAAGTGGTTAGCTTTCATTGGTTTACCAAGAGGACACGGATTGGAATATGAAACTAGCATGTTTATTGTAGAGGGAGAAGGCTGTGTATGTTAACTTTTTCCATATCCCACACTTGTAGTGTGAGAGCCTTCATGTAGTGAGCAGACATTTTCTTTGGGAGAGAATGATCTTTTTATTGAAATTGCTTCTTGCTGGTAGTTGTTAGAACATCAATCTTCAGATGTAAATTACATTGTCTTATGTTACTTAATATTTAATATCATTTCTAGCCATTTTATTACGTCAGTTTCAGACAATTACATTGATTGATAGTGCATGATATTCTTTCTCTAACAACAATGAAATATTTGAACAGGCAGGGCTAACTGTGGCTGACGAAGAAATTGCAGATTGGCTGCGTAAGAACTATTCTAGCAAGCCTATCATCCTTGCCGTTAACAAGTGTGAATCTCCCCGAAAGGGTCTAATGCAAGCATCAGAGTTTTGGTCCTTGGGGTCAGCCATCTACTTCACTCCAGTTCTGCAACTGACAGTGCTGAACAACCCAATAACATAATGTTTCTCCAACAAGGACCATTTTGCCTATATCAAAATTTAATTTCTTAGGAGTTACATTTTTTGTTCTTATTTTCACGAGGGCTTACAATAACTTTAATAACATTTATTATTAGGTTCATCTGCAAGAAAGCTAATTTTTCTCCATCAAAATCTGCTATAGAAACTTCTTAAGCAATGTGCCTTATCCTGTCAATAAAGCATGAGTGAATATGAAAACAAATAAAAGGGATAGCTCCATTCTCCAATAAGGGACTTATTTTACTCCTTGCTTCTTAGGATCTTATTGTTTTAGTTTTGTTCTAATAAAATACACAAAGGTAAAACGTTGTTCAAGTTAAGGGAAAACAAAATACATTCTATCCCCACTCTATATGTAAAATTTGATGTTTTCAGTTTTATTGCCAGGTTTACTCCTCTGCCGATATCAGCTATTTCCGGCACCGGCACTGGTGATCTTCTTGAGCTTGTTTGCTCAGAGCTGCAAACAATTGAGGTACTATGTCAAATACTGAATATTTCCTATCGCTTATGTGTTTTCAGCAGCATGCTTGTTAATAAACTTTGATAATGGATATCAAGATGCTCTTAAAGATGAAAATATATTTTGTTTGTTTACAGAGATATTCTTCTTGTTTACTTGAAGCATCATTTTCATTTGTTAGTTTCTCAAATGGTTCAAAATAGTTGCAGTTTTTCCTTGTAACTCGATTCCAATGTTTGAAATGGCTCAAAATGGTTTATAGTTTTTCCTTGTGACTCCATTCCAAGGTTGTCACTGCACAATTAAAAAAATGTAAGCAAATGGTGTTTATTGTATTGATGTGCAATGCAGGAAGCGCATTTGAATTAATGGAACTGCATAACTAATAGCTATTGCACATCCCATCATATTTAAACAAATATTTTCTCACGTTTCACTTCAATCGTTGATGATGTCCTAATCAAATTAGAAGTTAACTTTTCAAATCTCCTTTTGGTTTAATTGTTGGAGTTTCATCAAGAACTCCTAAGCATATTTATGTTGGAGCACTTATACGAAGGATGAACTCTTGTAAGTTACATAACGGGGAACAAAATCATGACATATGTTAGGTCAAAGTGAACATGTCTTGATGGACAAGAACTTAGGCTATTATAAATTTTAACGCGCGCTGTAAAACCGTTTGGTTGGATTTAGCTTAAATATGACTTAAATCCCGCTGTAAATCTGATACCAAACAGCCCCTAAATCTCGTTAAATCCATTAGGATTTACACCGAGCCGATTTATGCCGTAAATCCTGGATTTACGGATTCGCGGTATTTACCGTCGTGCGAATTTTTCTTCCGCCTTTAATTTTTATGTTCCATACATAAATTTTATTTTAATTTCATTGATAAACTAGCAGCTCATCTTTTACGTCTAAAGGCCCATTCTTACATTTAGCCATATTACTCATTTTAGATGCTCCAGAAGTTATAAAATGCTCCTTGATTCAAGATATACTCATGTTAGTCTCTTGATCACAATAAATGCAAATGGTAGACATCAAATTTGATGGTATTTATCTTTGATGTTGTTTTATGGTTCCTAGCCTTTGAAGTTCAATGTCTTTGCTATCTCTAGTTCATTTTGGCTTATGCTAGTGTATTTTTGTTCCTATCACTCATTTGTTGTGGCATGCTGTTTATTTTTTCGATAGTAGTTCCTTCCTGGATTAATCTGTTTCTCTTTTGTCAGTATATTTTTTCTTCTTCTTTGTTGTTTCTGCTCCGGTGGGTTGTGCAACTGGTGTTATTGTTCTCCCTATCTAAGGTTTTTTGTTCTGCTTTTACTGTGACTATTTTCTGTGGGTTTGCATATTTTTTGTTTCACAAAGCAGCTTAGCAGCTAGTAATAATATTTTTTATGATAATGATCAGTAATGTAGGAAGTACCCTTATCTAGTAAGAATGAAACTACGTCTCCCACCATGAATGGAGAAAATTTCATTGGAACTCTCTTAGAAACGATTGATTGTTATATCATTATCATAATTTAAACTTTTATTTGTTTTATGATTCTAATATTCAAATAAAACTTTATTAAATATATATATTACTAAATAATTAAGTGCTATTTGCCATGACTCTTTTGTTCACAGAAAAAAATAAACAGCATGCCACAACAAATGAGTGATAGGAACAAAAATACACTAGCATAAGCCAAATCGAACTGGAGATAGCAAAGACATTGAACTTCAAAGGCTAGGAACCATAAACAACATCAAAGATAAATACCCATCAAATTTGATGTCTACCATATGCATTTATTGTGATCAAGAGACTAACATAGGTATATCTTGAATCAAGGAGCATTTTATAACTTATGGAGCATCTAAAAGGAGTAATATGGCTAAATGTAAGAATGTGCCTTTGGATGTAAGAGAGGAGCTGCTAGTTTATCAATGAAATTAAACTAAAATTTATGTATGGAACATTAAGATTATTAAGGCGCAAGAAAAATTCGCATGACGGTAAATAGCGCGAATCCATAAATCCGGGATTTATGGATTTACAACATAAATCGTCTCGGTGTAAATCCTAATGGATTTAACGAGATTTAGGGGCTGTTTGGTATCAAATTTACAGTGTGATTTAATTCGGATTTAAGCTAAATCCAGCCAAACGGTTTTACAGCGCGCGTTAAATCCCGAGATTCAATAAATAACCGACAGCTGCAGGTGGATTCCGAGCTCTCAGTTAGTCTTTTAAATGATCTACTTCATACTCCTATTTCCCCTCCCTACTGCTAACTTTCCCCTTAGTTTTCCCCATACCCGAACAAAGCCCCATCCCGCAGGCCTCCAATAACCCGTAGCCGCCAGCCTCCTATCAAAACCTGTAGCAACCCACCTTCTCGCCGCCCCCTTTCACCCCCAAGCTCAACCCGTTGGCTCCCATTGACTCTATTTTGATTTTCAAATTCAAAATGGGGACTTCATTACCTTCCTAAAATAAGCTCAAGGTATTTAGGAAAGTTTCCAATTTGGATTTCAATCAAATTTTGAAATTCAAATACTTTCTAGATGCTTGGACTTAAATTAGGAAACTTGCTTATTGAATAAAATCTGAAATATATTTCGGATTTGATTTAGATCCAATAATTAACCATTGGGGCCCACCTAATTAAAGCAAGATCTCCCCCTCCCCTCTATATGGACGGCCCCTTTAATCCTCTCCCCCTCTCTCCAATTAGCATTTAATTTCCCCCTTAATGCTCACAAAACCACCGGCCCCCTTGCTTTGTTGGATCAAATGAGTATGGCGGATCCAATTAGCATTTAATTTACCCTTTAATCCTTTCCCCCCTCTTTACCTCCTTTTAACCGGCGATTACCCAAGGCACCTCCACCAAGAGAGTTTCAATGTTCATGTATGGCTGATCCGGAAATTGATTACGATTTTGTGTTCAATTCTCAAGGGGAGATCGACGTCAGCCATTCCCCTTTCTTTGACCTTGGATTTGAATTCGATCACACCGTCGAAGAATACGTCGACCGTATTCTCTTCCATCTAGCGGACGTCATCGACGAACAACGACCTATGGGAGAGTGGAAGATCAACGGACGCCCACCTGTTCCTCCAACTCCGACTCCTTCCCCGGCGACTAGCCTCCTCGGCATCACGTGTCTTCTAGAGGCATCCCTAAGTTTGCTTGCAACACTCTTCCGCTAAGCCAATCACTATCAAGAGTGTGAGTGAGGGACCTCAAGGTGAACGATCTAATTATTAAACTGTGAATTTTGTTAACTTGCCATTTGTTTTACTCATTTATTTGTTGTTGTTATTTTGCAAGTATCATAGTAATCTCAATTGTAATCGCTTGTCGTTACTTAGTCCTTTCATGGAATTTTCTAAGATCTAACTTGAAGAAGCATCCGTTTGTATTTAGCCAAGCAAATTTCACATTTTACTAATTTATTATGAGCAATTCTTGTTTCATCATCATTGTTTCACATCACTTCTTTGTTTGAACATTTCATTGGAACTTGTATCAGTAATTAATCTCGTTTTTTTATTTTTACATTCTTGGCAGGTTGGAACCTGTTATTTCATTCATAGTTCTTTCTTTTTTTTTTCCTCAGCGTAATGTCGTTTGGCTCCTTATAGCTTCATAACTTCCCTAATGATGTTCTAGATGCATTTATTAGGTTCCCTCTCTCATGACTATCAGGCGATGGGTTTGAATCATGAAGCCCGCCCCTTTACCAGGTCTAGTAGGATAGGATTCTGTATACTAAGCCTTTGCTACAATTCTCAATTAGTAGGAGCCTCATATGATGAATAATACCGACTTTTCACATTTTCCGACTCTAGAAAGATTATTTTTGACTTCTGCTTGTAACCATTGTGTTGCATCGAAATATAAACCACATAATCAAAATGCTTAAAATGAGTATAGCAGTATCCATTGTCAGTTTGACAATCTTATCGATGAGCATGGAGACTTGGAGACGTGTTGCAAAAGATCATTGTGATCACAAGTAATTGTAGCATGCCTTCATAGAATCTTTATTTAGTTCATTCCATCTTTAATACTGGTTTTTGTCTCTCCATTTGCTATAAATTTTGGTTCCAATAAAGGCTTTATCTGTAGGCTTTTGAGATCAGTGAAGGGGAAAACACGTATGTTCCTTCTATTGCCATCGTGGGCCGACCTAATGTTGGTAAAAGTAGCATTTTGAATGCTTTAGTTGGTGAGGACAGAACTATTGTCAGTCCAATCAGTGGAACCACCCGTGATTCTATTGATACTGAATTTACTGGACCAGATGGACAGGTCAGCTTACTACTTTTAATCTGGGCATGCCTTTATCCACTTGGTACAGATATTTGAAAGGCTTAAAGCATATAATTATATGCTGATGCTCCCAGCTTCTTGTTCTTGTTGTTTTTCTTTACTCAGTTTGGTTGTGTGGCCGCTGTCCCACTGATTTTATCCATCTAGTTATCTCTCTCTTCTTTTGATAGTTTTCCATCTAGTGAATTTTATTTTCAGAGAATTCAAGAAATTGTCTTTATCTTTTTGTTACATTATCCCTGTCATCATTTTTTTCCAGAAATACAGGCTTATTGATACTGCTGGAATTCGACGGAGAGCAGCCGTTGCTTCAGGTGGTAGCACGACCGAGGCATTGTCTGTGAATCGGGCATTTCGGGCCATCCGTCGTTCAGATGTTGTTGCACTTGTTATTGAAGCAATGTCTTGTATAACAGAGCAAGTAATTTATCAGATACTTGTTCAGTTCTTAGCAGTCTATTTACTATTTAGTTTGAAGTCACAAAAATGATTAATGTCTTTCTAGGTAACATATTCAATGCTTTATGTCTTTCTTTTTCTACTGTCCATGCATCTTTATGGCTCTTTGTTCTGCATTATACATGTTTGCATTTTTTAACAGTTATTGAACAGAGTTACCTGATAAGCTATTTGAAACTGATGCTCTATAACTTCATTGTCTGTTCCAACTTGTTATTCATTTACAAAAGGGGTGATTACACTTCGTCCCCAACATTTTATCGTAATGCACATTTATAATCCCCTTGTTGTTTAACAACATCGGCTTCATCACTATGTGCTTCAGATCTAAGTTTCATTGCTCTATTTTCTTTCAATTCTGACAAAAAGGTATAATTGTCAGCCTAAAGTTATAGTTGAGTGAATTTTCGTCATAGCTTAACTACTTTTTTCCAAAAATATCCCCTTATATGAGACCCCTCCTGACCTCATCAAAGTTCACATCTCATCCATTGATTTCGTTGATTTCTGCCTTTTTGCCCATCACAAACAAGAGAAAAGGATGCTTTTGCGTGAAGTATTGATGTAGCAAAAGATGTGATCCAAATTGTCCTCGACACAAGCTGCTTGAATAAATCAAATCTTCATTGATGCACATGAGCCACATCACTAAGGGCAATTGAATTTAAACAAAGCAGAGCAACAATGTGTACATTCATCCCTAGCGCTCCTTATATTTAGTTAGACTCCCCTTTTCCAATATGCCTTTAGTAGAACTGTTACTAGAATGAAGTCTCTCTTGAGTTACATTGCTCGTGGCAAAACTTGAAGTTCTTTCATTTTTGAAATAGAGCAACAGCATTCACGCACTCAAGCATAAGAGAGAAAGAGACGATGACAAGACTATAGGCTTAAGCTATAAGGAAATTAGAAAGATGGAGGAGAGGTTCTAATAGTGTTGGCTATCAGATATGGCGTGGGAAATGAAGAAGAAGAACTTGATAGTTATGACCTGCTGGTGTAGGAGAGGTGACGAGAGCAGCATGAATGATAGAATTCAAAGAGGTTGAGAGTAGGAGGAACTTGACAACTATTTCCTCATCGGAGGTGGAGGGGCTGTGGGAGGTTAGTGAGGTAGTGTTAGAGGCGAGGATGAGGGTCAGTAGGCAAGAACAAGCTTTCTAATTTTTCTATTATTTTGAAAGGTTAGTTATGATACTTCAGTAAAAAATACATGGGGGTTAAGCGCTTATTATAAAACCACATAGGTTCATGTACAAATATAGAAGACCCACTGTTTTGTGACCATGATTTGGAAGTTGAAACACTTTAAATTTCCTAACTTGTGCTCCATTAATTATTTTCTAGATCATACTTTGAGTAGTGTATGCCTCTTTGTATTATATTTATAACATGTTTCTTCGAATAGTAGTGGATGATAGGATATTCAAAAGTTTTGCTTGAAATGACTCGAGATCAGAACCAGTGTATGATGAACAATTTTTTTAATGTTTTCTAGAGGATTGTGAATATATAGCTATTATATGTTCTAAAATTCGAATTGATCAAATGTGTCAAAGATAAGCAGATGACGAGCGTAATGACACATTTATTGTTTTTCTCTTTGCATTATCTGTGAGATCTAAAGGTTTTAAGCATATTAGTCATTTCTTAAATTACTTTTGGTTGAAAATTGAATACTGTTTTTGTGGTCATTCTTCGAACATATTATACTAATATTTTCGTTGGTGTTATAAGGACTACAGAATTGCTGAAAGAATTGAGAGAGAAGGAAAAGGTTGCATAATTGTTGTAAATAAGTGGGATACAATACCAAAAAAGAACCAAGAAACAACTACTTATTATGAGCAAGATGTCAGGGAGAAGCTGCGCGTGCTTAACTGGGCGCCAATTGTTTATTCAACAGCAACGACTGGCCATAGTGTTGAAAGGTATTACATTTTTGTTACTACTTTTTTACTTACCTTTAATTTAGTACAAATTTGTAATAGTCGGCATGCTTTCTGTTTTGATGGTTGGAATAATTAATTCAAGTCTACTTTAACTTGATTTTGTTTTCTGAACAAGCCCGTGAGATTCTCAATGACATTTTTTTGATTCCTCATTTAGCATGATTTGGGATGGTCAATCAAAACCTGCGACAAAATCAATCAAATGAAGGATAATTTAATGAAGTTGCGTGCTGCAGATTAAGGAATTTATATTCCTTAAATTGATTTAGAATAACTTAAAAAAAAAAAAAACCAGCAAGTGCAGCAGTGCAGCTCATCCAATCATTGTATTGGTAAAGGATGTTCTGTTCATGTTAATTTGATTTCTATTAATATTTTGATGTGGAATAACTCTTATTCCACATGGAGGACCGCAGGACACATGGAGGACCGGAGGAGCACTACACCCAGAATCCCTTTTACCGTTAGGATGCCTTTTTCTCCACTACTTTCCTAACCAATTATAGTACTAAAGGACTTATGCACTTTTTCATTTGGTTTAGCTTTCTTAGTATACTGCCTGCATATATGAGGCGGAGGGGGACAAGAAGAATATAGCTTTTATGATATAGAAATATTGCTCTTGAAGCAAGTTACTGTTCCATTGGTTTTTCCTTGTTCTCTGTTCTTCTTTGTTTTGTTGCTCCCACAGCAAGTTGGTATCAGAGCTCGGAGGGGACGACAATGGCGGAGAGCAGCAGACGACCCGTTCTTGACGGCGTTCAAGGCGAAGGCTCTCTGGGGATGACGCAAGCCCAAATCATTAAACAGTTGGAGGAACTCAAGACTGAGTTTCGTCGTTTCGTCACAGAGGTGCGATTGGAGATTCAAGGTATCAAAATCAGTGGGGCAATGTCTAATTGCAGCACTTGACTATCTCCCCTACGCGTCGACCGGTGCAGCATCGAGGTCAGGGCGGCTGCCGAGCTCGGCACGAACTACTTGATCTGACGGACTCTGACGTGGAGGTCGGCTTTCAACAACAAGGAAACAATTCAGATATAGGGGGGGAAGAAGTTCCACAATACCTCTCACCGCCGAGACATCGCCAGGAAGCCTGGACGCAGCAGCAGGGTGAGTTCCGCGATGCGTGACCTCGACAGCAAGATGAGTTCAAAGTAAAAATGGATATCCCATTTTTTGATGGAAAACTGCATATAGAAGATTTCCTTGATTGGGAGCGATCAGTGGAAACATTTTTTGAGTACATGGACATTCCCCCCGAGAAACATGTGAAGTATGTAGCGTGCCGATTACAGGGCGGCGCGAGTGCGTGGTGGCAGCAGTTGCTACAAGCACGCCACCGTGAAGGTAGGGGCAACGTTCGGAATTGGACAAGAATGAAGCAGCTATTGAGGAGCCACTACTTGCCCACGGATTATGAGCAAATTCTCTACATGAAGTTTCAACATTGTGCGCAAGGTCAACGCAGCGTGAGTGACTAAACTGAGGAGTTCTATCGCCTCAGTGCCCACAACAACTTAAATGAAACTGCTAATCAGTTCGTAGCTCGGTACATTGGCGGGTTGAGAGAGGTTATACAGGATAAATTGGAGCTGAATTCCGTATTGTTGCTATCTCAGGTCGTCAACTTCGCCTAAAGGCTGAAATGCAACTCAATCGGCCAGCCAGGGTGCACTCCCAGCGACGCTACTCCGGTAATGCATTCACGCCAGACTCTCGAACGCAGGGGACACCTTCAACAAATATGTCTAAAATTGGGTCCAAGGTACCCACAGTGACAACGCCCACTGCACCTCCGGGGGACAATAAGATGCCAAATAAGTTCAAAGCACCTGTCCAAGATAACCCATACGGCCGGCCCACAACATTGAAGTGTTTTAGGTGCTTTCAACCAGGCCATAAATCTAATGAGTGTCCAAGCCGACAACAATTACAACTCCTATAAGGGGAGTCCGAGCCCAATATGGTTCAGGCGGATGCTGATGACGAAGAGGAATATGAAGAAGTGGCAGGATATGAAGGCGATCCGGTTATATGTGTGCTGCAGAAATTACTGTTGGCTCCGAATCAGGACGCTAAATCGCAGCGCCATGCGATTTTTAAGTCCAAATGCACTATAAAGGGTAAAGTCTGTGATCTTTTGATTGATAATGGGTGCACAGAAAACATCGTTTCCAAGGCAGTTGTGCAGGCATTGCAGCTTAAAACTACCAAGAACCCGAATCCGTATAGGATTAGCTGGGTTAAGAAGGGAGTAGACATCCAGGTGACGGAGATGTGCCGGGTAAATTTCTCTATTGGGAAACATTATAACAGTGAAATTCTTTGCGATGTCCTTGACATGGATGTATGTCACTTGATACTCGGTAGACCATGGCAGTTTGACATGGGCGTGACTTATGATGGAAGAGCCAATGCTTACTTGTTTGAATGGAAGGGGCGGAAACTTCGGTTGCTGCCAACATCTCATCGTGTCGCCAACAAAGATTTAAAACCACGGCCTGCGTTGTGCATTGTTTCAGGCAACTTGTTATTGAAGTGTGGGCGAGAAGCAAAGACCATGGTTGTTGTTGTAGTAGCAGAGGCAAACGAAGTTTCTAATTCCCGCAACCATCCTCCGGAGCTATAGCAGATTTTGGAGGAATTTGCAGATACCGTACCCGACAGCCTACTGAATGAAATGCTGCCCGTGAGAGCAATTCAACACCAGATCGACTTTGTACCGGGAGCAACGCTGCCAAACCTCCCCCACTACAAACTGAGTCCCACAGAGCATGTGCAGCTGTAGAAGATCATTGATGATCTTTTAGACAAACAGTTGATTCAACCCAGCTTAAGCCCGTGCGCGGTGCCAGCATTATTGGTCCCAAAGAAGGACGGCTCGTGGAGGATGTGCATTGATAGCCGATCTATCAATAAGATTACGATGAAATACAGATTCCCAGTGCCCCGACTTGAGGATATGCTGAATTATTTGGCGGGATCCAAGGTGTTTTCAAAATAGGACTTACGTAGCGGGTACCATCAAATCTGCATCTGAGCCGGCGACGAATGGAAGACTGCGTTCAAGACGCGGCACGGGTTGTTCAAGTGGCGTGTAACGCGTCGGCGACATTTCTAAGGCTAATGACGGAAGTCTTCAAGCCATTACTGGGTAAGTGCTGCGTATTCTACTTCGACGATATCCTTGTCTTTAGCCCGTCAATAGAAGATCACTGGAAGCATCTTAGGGAAGTTCTTGGAGTGCTGCAGCAGCATAAACTGTATTTAAACAGTGCCAAATGCGAATTCGCCACCTCGTCGGTGCACTTCTTGGGCTATATGGTTTCGGCGGAAGGTGTGGCAGTTGACCCAAACAAAGTTATGGCAATCCAGTAGTGGCCGAGACCCAGTTCCTTGACTGAAATCCGCAGCTTTCATGGGTTGGCCAATTTCTACAAAAGATTCATTCGTGGCTTTAGTTTAATCACGGCACCAATCACCAATTGCTTGAAGGGTAGTTCGTTCAGGTGGGGGGCAGATCAACAGCGTAGCTTCGAGACAATTAAAGAGGCACTTACTGCAGCTCCGGTTTTGGCAGCCCCCAACTTTCAAAAACCCTTTCACGTGGATACAGACGCCTCGACGGTGGGCGTTGGTGCAGTTCTTTCACAGGATGATCGACCGGTGGAGTTTTTCAGTGAGAAGCTCAGCCCTGCCAGACAGAAGTGGTTGGCCTACGAGCAAGAACTTTATGCGGTAATTCGGGCGCTTAAACAATGGAAGCATTGCCTATTGCATAATTTTGTGCTGTGCAGTGATAACCAGGCTCTTCAATACTTAAACACACAAAAGTATTAATAGAATGCATGCCCGTTGGATTGTGTTCTTACAAAAATTTAGCTTTGTTCTCAAACATAAGTCCGGAAAACAAAACAGGGTGGCCGACGCCCTGAGCCGTCGTTCAGCCCTTTTGATCCAGCTCCAAACGGAAATTACAGGTTTGGAGACTCTTAAAGACTTGTATTGTACAGATAATGATTTTGCCGAGCCTTGGGCAAATTGTTCTGCCGGACAGCCAGTGGGAGACTACACCCTGCGGCACGGTTTCTTGTTCAAGGGAAACTCTCTTTGTGTTCCGGCTTCTTCAGTTCGGTTACAACTCATGCGGGAGCTACATTGCGGAGGATTGGCGGCGCATTTGGGCCGCGAGAAAACAATTGAGCAAATGCAGGCGCGTTTCTTTTGGCCGCACCTGCGAAAGGATGTCGCCAAGTTTGTGCAAACTTGCCCGGTATGCCAAGTGTACAAGGGCCACAGTCAAAATACAGGTTTGTACACTCCGCTACCCGTGCTGACGTCCATTTGGGAAGATTTGAGTATGGATTTTGTGCTTGGATTGCCACGCACCAAAAAAGGCGTAGATTCTATCATGGTGGTGGTTGATAGATTCTCCAAAATGGCTCACTTCATATCCCGTAAAAAGACCTCGGATGCTCTCGGCATTGCTCGTTTGTTCTTCAGGGAAATTGTCCGACTCCATGGGTTACCGAGGAGTATTACCTCTGACCGAGATGTCAAGTTCATCGGTCACTTTTGGAGGGAGCTGTGGAAGCAGTTGCAGACGGAACTCAAGCTGAGCTCCGCATATCATCCCCAAACCGACGGTCAGACAGAGGTGGTGAATTGCACTTTAGGCAACATGTTGCGTTGTCTAGTTCAAGACAACCTGAAGAAATGGGATGAAATTCTGAGCCAAGCTGAGTTCGCCTACAATTCTATGTCTAATAGATCCACTGGTATGTGCCCATTCAATATTGTCTACACTAAGCCTCCTAACCATATTTTAGACATCGCCGTTCTTCCCAAATGTCACAATGCGGTGGCAACAAAGATGGAGGGTGACTTCAAGACCATGCTGGAAAACGTCCGCAGTTCGTTACAGTCGGCGAACGAGTCCTATAAGCAAGCAGCTGATGCACACCGTCGATTCAAAACCTTTCAACCCGGAGACTTGGTCATGGTACGATTGCGGAAGGAAAGGCACCCGACTGGAACTTACTCCAAGCTTGCCCCAAAGAAGCTCGGCTTGGTTGCCATCAAACACAAAATCAACGACAATGCTTACATGGTGGAGCTACCACCCGATGTCCTCACGTCTTCCACCTTCAATCTCGCTGATATTAGTCCCTACTACCCACCTGATTCTGCGATCACTGAAATTGATTCATCGGATATGAATCCTTCTGTAGCAGGGGAGAACTAATGTGGAATAACTCTTATTCCACATGGAGGACCGGAGGAGCACTACACCCATAATCCCTTTTACCGTTAGGATGCCTTTTTCTCCACTACTTTCCTAACCAATTATAGTACTAAAGGACTTATGCCCTTTTTCATTTGTTTTAGCTTTCTTAGTATACTGCCTGCATATATGAGGCGGAGGGGGACGAGAAGAATATAGCTTTTATGATATAGAAATATTGCTCTTGAAGCAAGTTACTGTTCCATTGGTTTTTCCTTGTTCTCTGTTCTTCTTTGTTTTGTTGCTCCCACAGCATATTTTAATGGAATTCTCCGTCTTTGGTCTCTTGATAGTTTGGGCTCTACCAGGATCGAGATTTTTCAAGATCTATTATGAACATAACATCCATCTTCCATCTTTCTGAATACATGATAAGAAATTAATTTCTCATCAGCATCTATTTGATTGCTTATTATATTTCTATTATACATATATTTTACACATTACTATGAATGACATTTTCTAATTTCAATTAGAAAGCTTCTGTAGAATGTGATATTCTCCTTAATCCTTAAAACTTAATGTTGCCAGGATTATTGATGCTGCCAGCATGGTTGAAAGAGAGAGATCCAGAAGGCTAAGCACATCCATTCTTAATCAAGTGGTACAAGAAGCAGTAGCCTTTAAACCACCACCAAGGACAAGAGGTGGCAAACGGGGACGTGTTTACTATAGCACCCAGGTATATCCTGTATATTGACACATCAGATAATTTTAGTCATCCACAAATGCAGACCCAGTTTGTCAATCCCAATCCCCTCTTCCCTATCATACTTTTATTAATTCAATCCTATTAATCTTTCTCTTGCGTTGTCTGTGGCATGCAGTGCTCACTACATGCCACTGTGATCAGTAAGGAATGAGAAATATGATACAGACCAAAAAAGAATCAATAAACAAGGTGGGAAGGGGTTGGTTTAGTCATTTGAAGATAGTTCCAAAAAAGTAGGAGTCGACCCGCAAGTGTTCAACCTTTGTGGGTTGTTAGTCCGTGCATTTTGTGATCTAGTTGTCAAACTAGGTTTAGTTGGGATTGGCTTAGTATTTGTTGCGTATCTACAAATACGTAATACATATACAGTGCATACACATTGCGTACGCAGCAATCCGAAAAATCCTATGTTCGGACTCTGCACAAAATAATTTCCCCATTTTGTGATATGCTCTGATTGTTGCTTGACATTTTTTTTAATTTTTTAAGTGAAAAATGTAATAGCAGTTTTCTTGCTACCTGAACTGATGAAGTCATTTTCTTTGCTTGTGCACAGGCCGCTATTCGTCCTCCCACTTTTGTTTTCTTTGTTAACGACGCTAGGCTTTTTCCTGATACATATAGACGTTATATGGAGAAGCAGCTAAGATCAGATGCAGGTTTTCCTGGTACACCAATTCGCCTTCTATGGCGAAGCAGAAGGAAAGCAGAAAAGGAATGTGAGAATCCCAAGTGCACTTTCATCAAACTTTTTCTTTATGGAATTTCTCTCTTATTTGAATTTCTTCTTCGTCTTCATTGAATTAGTAAAAGATATAACAAATGCGGCATAGTGAATTCATTCTTTTGTAAAGCGGATTAATGAAGCTTTCTGATTTCAGGAAAGCAGAAAAGGATCGTGAGAATCCCAACTGCACTGTCATATAACTCTTTTTTTTTTAATGGAGGTTTACTATTGTTTGATTCTCTTCTTCTTCTTCATCGAATTTGTCGGCATAGTTAATTAGATCTTTTGTAAAGGGGATAAATGCAGCTATCTAGTTTCCTTAAAGCAATAACTATAGTTGAATTATACCTGCTTCTGTCTTCCCTTGTGCAGCTTTGTCATATCAAACATACATTTCTAATGTTTAGAAGACAGAAATTTAATAATTTGTAAAATAAAGATTGAATTTATGAGATATAGTTCTAGACTTCATTTGAGATAACTTTCTTACTATTTTTTAAAGCAACTTTTTATTAAAAAAAATTGAACTAAAATTTTCTATATTAGAAAGCTGCTTTAAAAAGCAGTGAGAAAGTTGTCCCCAATGATGTTAATAATAGCTTCTTCGTGTATAAAAAAATGATATATCTACTGAAAAGCCTAGCGGTATTTTGCAGGGAAGGCTGCAGATACAGTGAAGAGATCTGGCAGAAATGCTGAGAGGCTATCTGTTGCAACCTAAGTCATGATACATGTGACCTAGCCAAGTGCCAAGCTTCAGGTCTTGGCGATATTCATCAAATGGACTGTTCTCTATTTGCATTGGAGAAATCATGTACATCTCTGAACCGTTGCAATTATAAATTCTAGTTTTTGCTTTAAGCGAAGGGCATGAATATTTTTAGATGTGCTAATGTTCATTGACTTCCTTTCTTAAGACTGTTATTTGTTGCGATTCTTGAGAAATTTCTAATATTGACACATACGAATATTATCTATACATTACACACTGTCTATTTTTTTTTCAATTAAAATCAGGTTAAAATTGAGGATTAATTATATTGGGCTTTTTGAGCCATCTCATTAGTTGATGTGAATTTTATATTATATATAGAGCAAATATTTTATTTCATATTTATGATGGGTTAAAATAAAAGAAAAATGAACTTCAACATACCATGATCTTGATTAGGGATGTCAATTTCAGGTCACGAATCGAACCCGAAACTGATCCAACATTATTCGGGTCAACCCGAACCCAACCCATTTTTGCAAATGGGTTGATTTTTCGGACCCGAACCCGACCAGCTTCGGATCCGGGTCAACCCGTCACGACCCGAATGACTTGGTGTCAACAAAAAATTGCTAGTTTTTCAGGTAAAAAAACGGGTCAATCTCGGGTTGCCGGGTCAAAATGGATTTTCAGGTCAAATTTGGGTCAAAGGGTCAACCCGAACCCGACCCAATTTTTGAAACAGGTCGAATTGTTGAACCTGAACCCGTTGATCCTAACCCGAAATTTTCGGGTCGGGTTTGAGTCGGGTTTTTGGGTCGTGTCAAATATTGACACCCCTAATCTTGATCCTTAGTGTAAACTGTGAAACCCTTTTAAGTAAAAAGATATTAAACTCTTAAACATTGAGACACCTTTTGGTGTAATGGTTGAATTTTATTAAGAAACTTCGCAATTAAGCGTGTTCATCCCGAAGAAATCCTGAGATAGGTGATTTCCTAGAAAGTTATACAAACAGGATAAAACTGTGAGGCCCTTAGGCCAAAGCATATAATGTCTAGATAGTTGAGAGTTTGAGCTGTTACAAATGGTATTAGAGCAATACATCAGCCAGAAGATGTAACAAAGTGTCATACAAGATAAAGTGCTACGTCATGAGAGTCACTTCTTGAATCCTGTATGAGACAAAGTGCTACGTGGTGGGAGTCACCACTTGAACTTGTAGGGGCCACCTCTAGAATCATATTTGTCTAGTGGATACTTTGGGATAAAAATATTGAAGAGAACATCAGTCATTTAAGTGGGGGAGATTGTGAAACTCCTTAATTAAAAAGAAGTTAAACTCTTAAACATTGATGTTTTTTGATGTAATGGTTGGAATTTCGTTAAGAAACACATCAGTTAAATGTCATCAACCCGCAAAAATCCTGAATGGGTGACCTCCTGGTAAGTCGCACCAACAGAATAAAATAGTGAAGCCCTTATACCAAAGAGGATAATATCTTGGTAGTTGAGAGTTTGTGCCGTTACATATACAATAGCTTTATTATTTACCCACAATATATTTTCGGGTAAATAAAAATCTATATATCTTTAAATTCTCATATTATACTTGAAAGATTGAAATCTCTAATACTGTTATTCCACTAATATTTTTGATGATTTGAGTTAAGATCTAATATAATGAATGCACAATCAATCATCTAAGTTGAGTATTTTTCTGCAACAATGATTTGAATGTGTGAGACCTCTATACTTTAGAGATTAAAGATATTACCACATAATGCAGTTATTGGTAGTTTTGAGCCTCTCTTATCAGAAATTACATCAATTATATCTCTCAATGGTTACATTTCTACCTGAATTTGAGATCCTTTGATCATGAATCTGTACAAGTCAGGTCAGTTTGCTTTCTTTTCTATCTATTATACTCTCTTTTCTTTGTCATGATTGTTCTACGTTAATAGTTTATAAGTTCTGACATCAAACAATAGAAATTATAGATTTTTACGCAGTAAAAAAATGTAGCTGAAACAAGGTTTCCCCAAAAATTTTCTGTATTTTTCAGAGATAGAGAGAGAAATCATGCATGGGAAAATAGTGAGAAATCGTAGGGACAGTAGTCTCGGGAATCAGGCCGACGAATGCTCCTGTAGTAATATCAAAGCATGTGAACTAGAGTGCTCGTGAAAATCTGAAATGTTTGAGAGGTGGGTTCTTAATGAATTTCCCTCTCTTCTACAGTACCCTAAAGACACTGAAATATTCTCTCTCTTAATTATTCTGTGGACACCGGGCGCCTTCTCTCTCTCTTAATTATTCTGTGTGGACACCGGACGGCCCCCGGAGACGAATGAGAGTGCGCCACGCTATTTTTTTATGTGTACCGGGTGACGTGACGCTCTCTCATTCGTCTCCTAACGATCCGATGTCCGCACAAAATAATTTCTCCTTTCTCTCTCTAGGACTTGCATGTTAATGGAATAAATCTTTTAGACGGTAAGATACAGTGAACTTCATGTGGCAAGAGACTGCCAGGTTGAAACCTCCATGTTACAGTGATGTGGTTTTCTGTAATGTCCACAGCTTGGACGTTCTGGTTACTGTACATATTTGTTATGCAGTTAAAAAAAAAAAAAGATAGTTTTTTTTTTTCTTCCGCATGAGAATATAGATATTATAAACGTAATATACAACATATATACCAACTATATGGAAAATAAATTACAATTTTAAGATAAATGATCTATGGTCCGACTCATAGATAAAAAATAAAAATTCAAGCACATGACATGGTGATTGAGCATTTTTTTTAGGGGGAGCGATATTTAGGTCAATTAAGACATTCACATACACAAACTTCGAGCCTAAGATCTCTTCGTTTGTAGTTAAAACTCCAAACCAACAAATCAATTCGAGCCCGAAATCTCTTAGTTGGTAGTCAAAACTAGGGCTGTCAAAAGCGGGTTTTGGGTCGAACCCGAATCTGACTTGACACTTTTTAGCCCAACCCGAGCCAGAACCATTTTTACAAACGGGTCGGTTTTCCGGACTCAAACCTGACCCGCTTTTTATAAGTTTTACTAAAATATTTTTATTTTTGATTTATTTAAATCTAAATCAAATTAAGGTAAGATCTATTGCAATTAATTTTAAAATAAATCAAGCTTAATTCAGTTTGGGTGACATGGTTTATTATTTTTTTGGAAATAATATTTATTTATTTCATAACAATCTTCTAAAATCCTCATGAATCAATTAAAAATGGGTTAAATCGGGTTGATTTTGGGTTTCCGGGTCAACCCGAACTGGTTTTGCAATCGGGTCAATATCCCTAACCAAATCATGTTCGGATTTGGGTCGGGTTTTTGGGCCATGTCAAATATTGACACCAATAGATCAAGATGAGTTGCGTACAAGAATTGAGCTTTTATTGAGCAAAAGAGCTCTGGCTGTTAATAGGATATACCTACGAGATATGAAGCTTAATACATGAAGAAAAAACAATAAGATTAAGCCTTAACACGAGAAAATATTAGTAGTTCTGTGAAATATAGTAATAGTAATAAGACTTAAGATATCGACATTTATGTGAATTATCTAAAATAATAGCACACAAGCATAGCAAAGAAAAGGGATCAAATTCACTATCAATAAGGCTAAAAACTATTCTGTGCGAACGCCGGACTGCGTTCGGAGATCAATCAGAACGGACCACGTTACTTTTTTGCTTGGTATCAGTGCTCGATATTGCTGTGTGCCAGGTGATGGTGTGTTCTGGTTGGTCTTCAGACCATCCGATGTTAGCACAGAATAATTTCTCCAATAAAGCGTACAAATATATAAATAAAATAGGCCTAATAAGAAACTACCTTCAATTTAAGTACATCTAATCTAATTAGAAATTAGAAATTTAAAATGTCTGATGTTAAATAAATATAAAGTTTAATGAAAATTTTCAAAAAAATGACAAATAATGATATTGAAATTTTACTAAAATATCTTGATTTGATGCAACCTAAAGAAACATCTTTTTTGAATTGCTCTCGATTTCTAAGGCTTTGTTTAGGACGACTCTTATATTGCTTTTTAAAACATTTTTTAATAAAAAAATTTATAAAAAATAATAAAAAAACTTTTCCAAACTAAACCTAAGTCGTAGATGTAGCAAAGCACCAAAAAATTCATATAAGAAAATTCTTCCTGATTTTGTTAAATGATTAAAGGTAATTAAAATAATATCTAAAAATGATTTAAAAATCAGATTCTTATGAGCTTAAAAAAATATTAAACAATAAAAAGTTGTTCCTATGTTATCTAAAAGTAAATAATAATTTATATTTACCTTAAAATCATTCATATTGCATTTAAAAAATTACATTAATTTTAAAATAAATTTAATATTTTGTAATTTTATTCTTACAATTCTTCAATTAAAATAAATTCTTAAAAAAAAAAAAATTAGACCCTTCTTCTCTCCCCTAATTTCCTCTACCACCAATAGAAAAACGTCCCATAGAGATTCCCAACGGTCACATGTTTTCAAACCCAAAAACCCAACCGTGAACTCATTTAACCTCCCTTTCTTCTCCCTTACTTATCCCCCGCGCCGCGCCCTCACTCTCCCACTCCCTCACTCTCCTTCAATGGACAACCTCATCAAGCGCCCTCCTCCCCGTCCATGGAAGAAAGGCCCGTCGCGCGGCAAAGGCGGCCCTCTCAACTCCTCCTGCGAATACCGCGGCGTTCGCCAACGCACTTGGGGGAAATGGGTCGCCGAAATCCGCGAACCCAAGAAACGCACTCGCGTTTGGCTCGGCTCCTTCTCCACCGCCGAAGAAGCCGCCCTCGCCTACGACGACGCCGCTCGCCGTCTCTACGGCCCCGAAGCTTATCTCAATCTCCCCCATCTCCGTTCTCTCCCCTGTTCTTCCTCTTCTGTTTCAACTTCCAAGCCTTTTTCCCGCCACCGCTTTCTCCGCTGGGTTCCAGTAACGGGCGGCGGCGCCGGCCGCCCGTTGCTTAATCTCAGTGCCCAGCACAGCGTTCATTCGATACATCAGAGGTTGGAGGAGATTAAGAAGAGCAGCAGTAGTAGCACTGGCTCTGTTTCTAAGGTAGTTCAGTATGAGGAGAGGCCGCAGATTGATTTGAAGGAGTTTTTAGAGCAGATGGGAGTGATTAAGCAGGATGATAAGGTGGTGGAAGGAAGAAGGGAGGAGGAGGAGGAGAAGGCGGAAGAGAGTAATGGTGGGGAGCTGATGAATTGGGATGAGTTGGAGGAGATAAGAGCGTTTGAGGAACACGCGGCGGCGGTGGTCGGAGGTGGCGGTGGCGTTCAGTTGCCTGTTTATCTCGACGTTGATGAGGAGCTTAGTGGTCTGCCAATTCCCATATGGGATCTTTGAAAATATGTAGTTTTATATGTGCTTGTTATAGTTATCATAAATGGTTTCTCTTAATTTAGAAAATCTGTGTTCGGGTCAGAATAAAATAATAATAATAATAATATTTGATCATAAATATAAAGATATTATAATTTGTACTAAATATTATTTATTTTTTATTATTTTATTATAATTATGTTATAAATTTTCTTGAGAGAATATTTTTCTTAATCCCAAAATTTTTATTTACCTATGACATTTTTCTCAATTCCTTTCAAGTGTGAGTATATATAACCTTAAATAATGAGGTGTCAAGAAATTTATTTATTTATTATTGCTAAAACTTAATTACTAGGAAAAAAGCTAGCTCAATGAAATAAATAATAACCACTATATAATGGAATTTTAAAGATTAAGAAATTTTCATAAAAAATACTGTTCAATTTGTATTTCAATTATGTTGAGTGCTAGTACATCGCGGTAACGATCGAACGGTGGCCCGATAGTGATCCTTCGGGGTAGATTTTTGAAAATGCATGCCTCATAAACATGGAGAAAATCTGAAACATTCTATCAAATTGCTCATATTGATTTCCTTGATCATAAAATATTCGTTCAACATTTACATGTCTTAATATTACCGAAATTAAATAATCTTAGTTGGATTCATCTCATCGAGATGCTCAATTTGATTATAAGCATGTAAAATTTAGATATCATTTTATCTCCCTAATTAATATTTCAAAATTTTCAATTATATTTCAAACTCTTGATATGGTCTTATTCGGACTCTGATAAGAGCATTTTTTCTATCATTGGGCTCTACTCATCGAGTCGATTAGTCCAACTATAAGTTTAGTGATGTCGGAGTTCAGATGGTCATGAATTGAATTTTGAAACTTTTCACTTCAAATACATATCAAAACAATTTTTGATGACGTATCAAATCATATTTTAAATTTACATTATGAAAAACTAATCTGGATTAATATCATTATCATAGATTAGTTGAACATACTCTGTTAAAATAAATCCCATTAGATGAGTCAGTTAATATTGACTGAGTTATTTAATGAAATCCTAAACTTAAGGAAGCACTGTGTAAGGGACATTTTATTTAAATGATGATATAATCATTCATATTTTTATCTGTACGGTTTTCTCATCATAATCTTCATCCATATAAATCTATTAATTTCAGTTGGAATTTTTCTAATATTTAGCAATTTTCCACGTCCCCCCCCCCCCCCCCCACCTTGATATATTT